CTATATTCGTGTGCAGGGCTTCCGCGCGCGCCCGATATTCGGGAAGATAAGGTACATGAACTACGCAGGCTGCAAGAGGAGGTTCGATGTCGATGGTTATATAGCCTACGTAAAGAGGTTAGCAGGCGAGAGTTCAAAAAGAAAAGCAAAGAACCAACTGAAACAAGCGGCAAAGCAAACCCGATTGGATTAATTGGTTTTCACCAGAAATATTGATGTGGTAAACGTACAGAAGCTGGATACAGCATTATGAACCAAATGTTCTTGAGCACTATCTTTAGTATGAAACTGGAATGATCCAGTTTTGCATTTTCCAAAAATAAAATTCAGTTTTTGACGGTGGATTATTTTTCTCCAAACTATTACTCCCTCCCGTCTTTAATATAAAACATTTTGATTTATCCTAGGTTTCAACTAATACACATTTTTAATTGACAAAAAAAATCTTCAAAAATATATTTCACATTCGTTGTATTCTCTTGATCTGTATGAAATATTTTTAAGGTTTTTTGTCAATTAAAAATACGTACTAGGTGATACTTAGGACAAATCAAAATGCCTTAATATAAGGACCAGATGGAGTATTCGTTTTCCAGATAGCCCATTATAATACACATTTGACAGGAAGGTAAAAAAACGAGGAACGGTCGAGCTCTAAGCTAACCTCTTTCATGATAATTGTCTTCGGAAAAAGAAATGAACTGAGAAAATGTGATGGATTATATGTCCAGCTTCGATGCATAAACAAATCTTCTAGAATATTGTAATCCTCCCCCAAATCAAATGCATATTGGCAGCCGGAAATTTTTTTTAAAATGACAACAAAATTCAAACTGAAATAATTAAAATCAAAGTACTTGTTGGTTTTAGATTTTATAAGAAATGAGACATAAGTTCCTAGCGTTAAAATTGAACAGATAGTGTTTCACTTCCAGCTTCTGAAAATTTCGAAGTTGAAGCTGAAACACCACAAACAGCATCTTCAAATCAATCAAACCTTGAATGCTACGTCATCAGAGTTTCGAGGACGGGCCGATTTCGATGTCCGTCTTGATCTTACTGAATGTGCGGGCGGAGTTTCGGCTGTTCGAACTGATGCACAATGAGAGGTGCCATGGAAACTTGGACTTGGGTCATTCATACACGAATAATCATTCTTGAGAAGCTCTCCTTTATGCAATATCTCTATAAGTTCCTACAGATGAAAATGAACATATAATGCTTTATACTTTTCATGTGTTACCCTTTCTAGTTTCTACACACAAATTAAAGGCGTCTAATAGGGATCTAAATATCAACATAGGGAAATGAGCTATTCTGGCAAGAAGTTTCAAAAGACAAGGAGCTCTCTTGAAAGGAGATCCAAGTAGATGATATGGTTGTAAAAAGCAGGAGGCTAAACGTTGTAGTATCGGACCTTCGAGAGAGATTGGAAACCTTGTGGCGAGTCAATATGAAGCTCGATCCAAGAAAAGTTTCTTTTTGCGTGTGTTTTTAGTTATTTTTTTGTATTGAAAATATAAAAAATATATATTTAAAATGTAAACAGATATATCTGGATAAGTCTATTGTTAGTTAATTATTTTTAAATTACCATCAAAAAAAGTTTCCAAACATAGAGGCATTGATGTAGTTAATTATTTTTAAATTACCATCAAAAAAATTTCCAAACATAGAGGCATTGATGTAGATCCTACAAAGTCCAGGCCATTTTAGATACGGGTGAGTCGAAGTCTACAAAAGAAGTCTACAGGTTGATGGAGTCAATTGCGGCTCCAAACTGATTCCTGTTTAAGGCTATAGAAAGAAGCCTTTCCTAATCCCGTTCTTCAAGAGTCAATATGTCATAATTTATAAATAAAGAAGAAAAAAAAAATACTTATTGAGAGAGTTTTGCATCTCAAAAAAGAGAAGAGAGTGGAACTTTGTGAAGAGGGGATCCGACTTGAATCCGGATTAATCAGAGCAATGATTTCGGATACCGAGTGTGTAATATACCACAAAAAAAAGAGAAAAAAATTGATACAATATTTTCCTTATTTAAAGTAACAGATTTAATGTTACTACTTTTTTTTTAATGTGTCGCTTTAAGATTCGCACATATATTTAGGAAATATTGAGATTTTAAATTTCAAGTGTACTACCTTTCTTGCTCCTAATTAAAAATTTTGGGACCATATAAAATTTTGAAATTGAAGTAAAAAAAAAAAGGTTGTTGTCATTAATTGTCATTAATATGTGTTATTAAAATAGAGTGAGATACGGTGAAATTAAAATTATTATATTTAATCTTGATAGAAATCAAATGCGACAAATTAAAAAAATTGTTAAATTCACTCTAAAATCTTACTATATATTAAGGGAATTTTTTTCATAAAATATATGTCAGTCAATTAAATCATCGATAATTTCCAATTACACGTGTCATCTTCTCATTTGTAGAGAATTTTATGTAGTCCACATGTCATCTTCTAATTCGTGAATTTTTTTAACTGAGTATTTTATCCAAGTAATATGATTTAAACAAGTCAAATGGTTATTTTCTAAAAAAAAATAACTCTTTCGAATCATCAATTTGACCGGAAAATATTCTCCGGCCACAAAGATCTCTGGCTCATCTTGATTTAGTACACTTCCGGTGCCACGGGGATCCCGACCGGTGACCAAAATCTGAATTAATTTCGAAGCAAGTGACTAAAATCAATAATTAAAATCGAAGCAAATTCGACGACCAAACGAAATCAATTTTGAAGACGTAAAGTAGAATGGATCAATAAACCACTCCAAACTAAGTGATCGATTTTGACTTCCGAATTGAATAACCAAAAAATACATCACCAATGAACCATCGAAGCCAAATTCAAAACAAGGGACAAAAATAGATCGGGGATGGTGAAGCGGGTAGAGACGATTCTCAATCGAGAAGCCAACGGAGAGAATGTCGCCGACGAAGGGGGCGAGAAGAGGGCGTCCACCTTGGAGATTCCATAGGCGAATTTAGTGTCGGATGAGAGACGCAGGATTTGGAGAAAGACGGCTGTAGGGATTTGGAGATGGCCAAGGAGGAGGCGGCTGTGGGGAAAGACACAAGATTTGGGGGTTTTTTTTTCCAAAAATAATAATCCTATAGACGATAGCCAAAACTAATTTTATTCACTATATTAGTATTTTGAGAAAATACTATTTACTCTTTGATCCCGCTATTTTTGTTAAATTAAAGTTTTTATTATTAGCAACCCTCATTTATCCCGCAATTCAAAACTTATTAATTGTACTAATTGTAGATAATCCACCTTAAATAATTATTAACTGTAGATAATTCACTTTAAATATGATTATTTTAAAATGGATATATGTTATAATTTAATAGATTTTGATGAAATAACTCATTATTTTATTTTGAAGATAAAAAATTTCTCATAGTAGCGGGTAAATACATAAACCCTAATACGCAACAGGGATCTTTACCTACTATAAATATTATACATACAAGAGCTGCATTACTTTTTAAGGTTTTATTCCTAGCATTAAAAAAAATTTAATTAGTTGCTTACAAACTTCTTTCCTATGAGTTTGTATTTTATGTATTGTTAGGTTTTCTTTGTATCGAGGAAAAAAACAAAAGTTAGCTCTTTTTTTTATTATTTGATTTGGAGATTTTGATGTTACATATTTCTTCTGGTTTATTGGGTTTTTATGTTTTAGATGGTAGAATCATCCTTGAATAAAACATCAAGTAAACCACTGTCTATTTTTTATGGTTTACCATTAAGATTGGATTTTTTATTTTGGTTAATATGGGTTTTTAAATGTTATTATTGTGAGTTGTACTCTTACTATATATTAAAGAAATTTTTTTCCAAAGACACATGTTAGTCAATTAGGCCATCGAAAGTACACGTGTCATCTTTTAATTCATTAAGAATTTTGTGTAATACACATGTCATCTTCTGATTTGTAGATTTTTTATTGGATATTTTATACTAGCAATATGGTTATTTCAAATATAGTCAAATGGTTATTTCCTTAAAAAAAATAACTTTTTTTGAATAGAAGATTAACAAAAAATGCGTGTCTTATTTCCTTTCATGCATGATTAACAGTTTATATAATACTAAATTTACGTTTCCATATTCATTTGATTCTTGAAATATATATAAAAAAAGTAGGAGACAAATCACTCTAAAATAAGATAATTAAATCAAAATTAGCCATCAAATCTCTGTTTAAAAAACTAAAAACTTATAATTATATACGTATACACATGATAAAAAAATCCCATAGTTAAATTAGGATACAAAATAAAATAAACCAAAGACTACATTCAATTAGTAGCCAAATCAAAATAGTACATTTTTTATTATTAAATTAATATATAATATATTATATCACCGCACAACGTACGAGAATAATACTAGTAACATAAAAAATAGAAATAATATCCATATGCAAGACATGCATGTGTTGCTCGCATAGACTGGGTTACAACGATCTTCTACTTTATTCTTGCTTGTAAGTTATAAGAGCATTTCCAACCAAGACACTAAAATACTAAATTTGGTGTTATGGTGTAAAGATTGCATTTTAACAAAGACACCAAATCATCGCACTATTTGGTGAAATGAATAGTGTTACACTATATTTGGTGTAAATTGTCTATTACACTATTTTTAGTGCACACAGAAAGAGGGAAAAAAAAAATTCGGAGCAAGCAAAAAGCACAATGACCCAAATGAAACAGTTTCAACTTTTCTTGATATTTTCTTACAACGAGATAAAAGTTAAGGTGTCATTTTGCAACTGAGAGAAATGCATATATATACGGCCCAGAAGCCGGTACGTGTCCATTTTCAAACCACAACATTTGCCCGTTTATTTTTCCCTCCATTTTCTTCTTTCCCAATTCCCACCCTTCCGCCTTCCCCCGCCACCGCTCCGCCGTTGAGGAATTAAATTAACCTGCGCCATCCCCGGCTGACGTTTCCACTTCCCGGCCCTTCATGTCATCTTCGACAGCTTCCGTTCAACCCGGACGGATCCGGGTTCTAAAGCAAGCACGCGGTCTACCCATTGATCAGAAGAAACTCACCGGACCAGTGGTATACTGGATGTTTAGGGATCAGCGGTTGAGAGATAATTGGGCTCTGATTCACGCCGTCGATCAAGCCAACAAGTCCAAAGTTCCCGTCGCCATAGCTTTTAATTTGTTCGATTCATTCTTGGGTGCCAAAGCCAGACAATTGGGGTTTATGCTGAGAGGTCTTCAAAAGCTGCATCATCGTCTCCTTGAACAGTCTCTCAATATTCCCTTTTTTCTATTCCAGGTATGATCACCTCTTTGGAATTCTAACCAGACCCTTTTGGAATAATTTCATGAAATGCGTGCATCATTGCCCTTGCTTTAGGCTCATATATGACCCTTTTGGGGAGGATAACTAGGGGATTTAATGGTTAACTTTTTATTTGGAGTTTTTGAATAACGATCAGTAATTAGTGATTTTTTATGTACGAAGAGATTTTTGGGCTTGTGAGTTTGGTGAAATATGTACTAAGGATCACAAAGCTTTAGTCTTTTTTGTGAAATATGTAATTAGTGTATTGTTGACTTCGAAGTTGCGCACCGAGTATGATTTAAATGTGGAAGATTAGCAATAATCTGCAAAGATAACCAGCGGAAATTCATTAGCTTAACCCATATGAAAGTAATTCTTCTATGGCTTTTCTTTACTAGGGCGAAGCTGTAGATACAATTCCTGTATTTTTGAAAGAATGTGGGGCTTCACTTTTGGTAACAGACTTTTCACCATTGCGGGAAGTCAGGACTTGGAAAGAAACAATGATCAGGAAGGTGGATGAGTCCGTGTCCATCCATGAAGTCGATACACACAACGTGGTGCCTGTTTGGGTGGCATCTGATAAGTTGGAGTATGGTGCTCGGACGATAAGGAGAAAGATTACTAAATTGCTTCCGGAATATTTAATTGATTTTCCAACCTTGATGCCTTCTGAAATGAAGTGGCCTGCACCCCAGCCTCCCATAGATTGGGAGAGAATTATTGCAGATGTTGTAAGGTTAGAACCTTTGAAAAATTAATTGTCTATTGACTCATAGGTTGTTCTTTACATCTGACTACTTGACCAGGAGAGGAGCTGAAGTGCCTGAGATTCAATGGTGTGAACCAGGGGAGGATGCTGCTCTAGAAGTATTGATGGGGCATAAAAATGGGTTTTTGACAACAAGATTGAGGAATTACTCCACTGATCGTAATAATCCGTTGAAGCCGAAAGGACTTTCTGGTCTGTCTCCTTATCTGCACTTTGGACAGATAGCAGCCCAACGATGTGCACTTGAGGGACAAAAAGTCCGAAAACTATTTCCACAGGTCTCTTTTTTTTTTTCTTTTCTTTTTGTAATTTTTTTCATTTATGTTGGTTATTTGGTGTTCCTTGTTTTTTCCCTATCCAAGTTAATACCATTGGTCATTTCTGGTTTATCAAAGACCTTCATCATGGAGCCATGGTAGTGGCAGATTTCTATATGTGAATACATATTTAGCAGAAATTGCTTCGAATATTTATTAAGCTTTATTCTTTTAAAATTATGTATATGATTTGATTCTTTTTTCCTCTTAAACACTTGATAAGTATCTTATCAGGGGCTTCTGCTGATAAATTCTTCTATTCAATGAAGGCAGTTGATACATTCTTAGAGGAACTGATAGTACGCCGAGAACTTTCTGATAACTTCTGCTTCTATCAGCCTCATTATGACTCCCTACAGGGGGCTTGGGAATGGGCAAGAATTACTTTGATGGCTCACGCCTCTGACAAACGCGAACACATTTACACGTTAGTCGAAGTGTTCCCTTTTTGTTGAGCAGCGCGGCTTTTTTTAGTTTTTCTTTTCTAGAAGTTTACAGTACAACATTAAAAATCATGTGATTATGCTATTGCAGGAGGCAACAGCTGGAGAAGGCACAAACTGCAGACCCTGTAAGTAACTGGTTTCATTGGGACTGTTTTATAGGAGAAATTTACTCAATCTAATCTGGATCGTCCTTTCTAAAATTTAAGCTGACTTTGTGGTAGTCGACGCATGTCTCATTTTATTTGATCATGGCACAATTGGTTGTAGTTCTTATCTATTTATCTTACTTTATGTTCTTGCAGCTTTGGAATGCCTCTCAATTAGAAATGGTTCATTCTGGGAAGATGCATGGTTTTATGAGGTAAGTAATAATCTTTTTTTCCTGCAAATATGATTTCCCCTTTTATAACTATTACTCACACCACTTCTTCCAGATAGCTAATGGCAGGCAAGAGTAACCCCAATCCTCCCCCACAACAACCCCCTCCCGGTCTTTCTTCCTTTCCACCACTGTGATTCTTCATGTATGATGAGTCTTTGCTGCTTATATAAAATGCAGGCATCTGCATTATTCTGCTAGTTCCTAAAATGGAAATGATACATTGATAGATTATCCTGAGAAATTACTTTAGAAGTACATCAAACTTGGGCAAAAAGTGGCCACCGATGGATGTTACTTTTGTTAACCGCCTAAATGCTTCAAGATGTGAATTAGATCTAGCCTATCTTGAGGATTCTGCTTGCCATGATTCATGATTTCACCTATTTTCTTGGTTTAAAATTTAATGCAGGATGTACTGGGCGAAGAAGATCCTAGAATGGACAACTGGTCCTGAAGAAGCCCTTGCCACCGCAATAGCTTTGAATGACAAGGTAGTGTTCTGATTAAGAAATGTGTGCTATAATACCTTTCCAAAATCTGAGTACAAGTCCTTCTCTTTGATGTCGCTGCAGTACCACATAGACGGGAGAGATCCAAATGGTTATGTTGGTTGCATGTGGTCAATATGTGGTGTGCATGACCAGGTTGGTTAAGCTGTCCTCTCTTGTCATCTGAGAACAACTTTATTTTTATTGCGGCAGTTGTACCCTTGTCTATGTTAAAACTATAATAGCAGAACAATTTTGCTAAGATATCTTCCACTTTCGCAGAACTGGTTGACTGTATTGTTAGACTGATGTTAAAAACTTTAGAATAACGGTGAACTAGATATAGTGTAACCTCCTTTTTCCACTTCCTTTTGGCTAACTGTGTGCATCAGAAATGTGATGTTATATTCATCTGTAGGGCTGGCGTGAGCGCCCAATATTTGGGAAAATAAGGTACATGAACTATGCAGGCTGCAAAAGGAAGTTTGATGTTGATGGATATATAGCCTACGTAAAGAGGTTAGCAGGCGAGAGTTCGAAAAGGAAAGCAGAGAACCAACTGAAACAAGTGGCAAAGCAAACCCGATTGGCAGATTTTCTCCCTCCCCTCCCTTCTCAGTAGTACATGTACTCCCTGAGTTTGTAACTTTTAGGTTTATTTGTTTTTCTCCAGAAATATTGATGTGGTAGACATACCTGAGAGAGCATTATGTGTTAGATGTTCTTGAGCACTATCTTCAGTATGAAACTGAATGTTAATTTTTGCATTTTCCGAAATTGAATTCAGTTTTTCTTCCTGATAGCCCATTAAAATACACATTGGACCGAAAAGGTGAAGCTCTAAGTTAACCTCTTTCAGATAATTATCTTCGGGGAAAAAAAAATGAACAGAGCAAATGTAAATAGAATGCATGAAGCGCTTGGGATAAACGGAAAAATGGGTCTATTGTAAATATATGTAATAGTATTATACACGTGGCGTGATCAATGATGACTTTACAACACAAGCCAAAAAGCTCCCAGGGGGGAGACACCCAAATAATGATACAGGGAATTGAGGCAATCAAGATGTGACCTATGTAACAAGTGAAAACAAACTGCGCAAAAATTGTCTTGGTTTTTCACTAATTCTGCTCATATCTGAAGATCATCCAACGAGAGTTCAGATGCGGTCATGAGCTTCAATTTCTGCACGAAAAAAGTAAAACATGAATCATAGATGCAGATGATTTACATGCATGCAAGAAAGGCAGAAGTACATATCCCATTTTGCATGAAATACGTGTTTTAAATCAAATGGCAACTAAGACAAAATTATGGCACAGAAAAAAAAAAAAAAACAAGTTCTAAATACTTCCAGCCTAGCCTATTGGATGGCCACAAAGAATGTAAAACTAAATAGAAAATTAAAGAAAATGCTGTCTTTTTGGTCATTAATGTGTTGGAAAGACAATGACCAGCTTCTCCAGGACAACCTTAAAAAAAAAACAAAGCCTGAAGAACCCTCTTCCCCTCTCTCTCACTGAAGAAAATGGTAGAAACTTCAAAATACTAATTTTAAAAAAATAGAAAAACACAAATGGGGGATCCAATGGGAGAAAAACACACTGCATATAGAGAACATGGTGAGTTAAAAATATATATTATTATCCTTGCTGCCAGAAGTGCCTAATGAGGCTTTAGGATATGTTTATCTTTCAAAAAAATACAAAGAGAAGAAGAAATAAGACAGCAGGCAAAGAACAGATGAGGAGCAGTTACATACTGTAATGAATTGTGGAGGGTCATCAAGACTAGATGAGCCGAGAATTATTTCCCTCTTCAGCTTTGTAGTTAGCTTATGGCAAACTCGCACCTGGAAATAAGCATAAAAATTGCATTAATAATAAAAAGTAGAAATTCCACCCATACTAGAAAGAGTAAAAAGAAAAAACCTAGACCAGAATGGGGAAGGAGAAGGTCTAAAGATCATGTAAGGCATTACTAAGACTAAAACCAAGCAAAGCTTTGAAAGACGACATAAGAGGCCAAAGTATGAAAAGCATAGATGACTATTTCACCTCTGATCTAGTCGCCCCGCCAACTATGAATACAAAGATTCTTTGACCCATCTTCTTGAAGTCACTAGATGCATGCCTCAGAACTGAATCACTGCAAAAATCAGATCAATGAAGGAAATAAAAACCAACATTCCAGGCATTGAACATCCAAAGTCCAAATCATAGAGAACAGCTAAAGAATAATGTAATCCTCCCCCAAAATAAATGCATACTTGCAGCCAGAAAAAAAAAATTAAAAATGGCAACAAAATTCAAACTGAAATAATTAAAATCAAAGTACTTGTTCAGTTTAGATTTTTTAAAAAAAGGTATTTGCTCAGAAATGAGACATAAGTTTCAGGCTTTAAAATTGAACAGATAGTGTTTCACTTTGTGCTTCTAAAAATTTCAGAGTTAAAGCTGAAACACCACAAACAGCAGCTTCAAATCAATCAAACCTTGAATAGCCATCATCAGAGTTTCGGGGACGGGCCCATGTCGCTGTCCGTCTTGATCTTACTGAATGTGCAGTCGGAGTATCACCCGTTCGAACTGATGCACTATGAGAGGTGCCATGAAAACTTGGACTTGGGTCATTCATACACGGATAGTCATTCTTGGGAAGCTCTCCTTTATGCAATTTCTCTAGAAGTTCCTGCAGATGAAAAGAACTTACAATGCTTTACTAATTAATGTTACATTGAGCTTACTTTTCATGTGTTACCCTTTCTACACACAAGTTAAAGGAGTCCAATAGGAATCTAAATATCAACAGAGGGAAATGAGCTAATCTGGCAGATGTCTCAAAAGTCAAGGAGCTTTCCCTGAAAGGATGGTTATTATGAAAAAGTGTGGACACAGCTCAAATTCACGTGTATCTTGGTTACAGAAGTTAATTTTATCTACCTCTATCATGGGGTAGAAGCGTGATAATTGCCATTGCACTTCTTCACCAGCCCGATCCTTTCTAGCAGCGTGTTTCTTCTGAATAAAGGAAAGAAGAAAAAGTAGTTAAATCATTTGAAAATATCAATGAGGTCTACAGGAGTTCCAAAACAATCTCACACTACCTTGTGAACATCAAATTTCAGGGAAAATGGTACAATAGAGCTCTTTTTGCTTTCTGTGGCTCCCTCAAGCAATCTCATGTTATATACTGCATTCATATCTTCCTGTGGCAATCTAGCCAGCTACAGCCAAGAATTGATGTTATCGGGAAATCCATAAAAATGACTCTTTGATTTTATTGAAAAAGAAGAAAGCAATCAAAATGTCTTCCACTGAGTCAGTAACGAAATAAAGTAATTATGTTAAAAGCTAAAATGATACTGCAAACTCTAGGTTGTTTTTCAGAGTGAAGCTTCTTTACAAGGAGAAGCACACAGGCAAATAAATCTTAAAAAAGGAGCCACGCCATAAGGAGTTAAATAAGTCTCCGGGAAAACATCCACTCAGACTCCAAAAGTAATACTTCTGTAGTTATTTAATTACAATATTGATTTAGTTACCTTAAGCTTCAAAAAATGAGTGAGAAAGGGCACATATAACATAGAGAAGAAAGCTAACCTCCATTATTTTTGTAAGTTTGTCACTTTCAAACTTCTCAGGATGAACAGCAGCATAAATCATCAGTAACCGCAGCTTATTCTCACGTGTCACATCCTGCATAGTAAAAAAAGCAGAATCAGGTAATGCTGATACAACAAATCATACAGCATTCACAATTCCACTAGTCTTACTGGTTTCATTCTCAGGAAATTGATGACATCCTTGGTCCCAGCATCTCCAAAAACAAGGTCTTGCTCCAATTGCCCAAGTTCTTTTAGTCCTGATTCCCTTATAATTCTGTTAATCTTTCCAGCAATCTGGAAAGCACAATCGCATGGAGTTCACCATGTCTAGGTTATCTTTCAGGCACCAATAACATGATTATGCACTCTAATTGAAACAAATAGAGAATATACACAATGTTCAAACAGAACATGATGGCAACATATAACTCTTATGCAAACTCCACATAGTAGAATAACAGGTAATTCGTTGGTGGTTGCCAATAAACATAAAAATAAGCACAAATCCATCAATAACATTGAATTGCGGATACGAATAAATAGCTATTGCATGATTTAAGAAGAAAAGTAACAAATCTACTTCCCAAAAATGGAGAAGATAAAAGGCGGGAAGGGAAGGAGGGGTGATAAAACTTGTTACGGTCAGGTGCGCGATACTCACATCAACATGCAGAGAGAGTTTTTCAATTTGCTCGCTATATTGAGGCAATGCTTGGACCATCTTCTGCAATTCACGGGTAGACAACTCACTGCCCTCTCTACATTGAAAATGGATTTGTGTCATTAATAGAAAAGGATATAAAAATAGAAACGTACAATGTACAGAGACACCTATCCCAACCTGGTGAGAGGTGGTAACTTGATAATGTCCATGCAGTTATGAACGTAATGGTAAATCAGTCTAAAAGGGAGGTTCCCCTAGCTCTTGAAAACACTTACCCATAAGGGGAAAATTGAACTATCAAAGTTATATGAAGAATCCGTACTTAATGTGACCCCTTTCAAATCGTGAGAGTTTACATACAACAGAAGTACAACACTACCATGATTCTAACTATAGGTGCGGAAACAGTAATCATCAAATCTAACATCCGATGACTTGATAATAAGAATTCAAACTGAAATGAAAAAACTAAGCTCCTCAGAAGAGGTAGAAGTTTGACACGTCAAGTTGAAGTTGGAACACATTCCAACTAATTAAGGAACAAATAAAGAAATCCGCAATCACAACTGCAAAATTTGGTTTAAAAAATATACGTGCAAAATAATTTGATCGACTGATGGAACAAAGAAAATAACGCTTAAATGAAAGAGTTAGGTCCCAACAAAAAAAAATGCCAGGAGAGTCTGATAGGATATTATTCTACTCAGAAACAATTTGATGGCTATGTCCAAGTGAACTTGTGGGTGTCAAACCATAAAGGGAGAGGATATAAGATGGACAGTATGCAAAACAAACAAAGAGAAATATGAATTGAAAAATGAATGCCAAGTAAATGTAACAATCAACATAATGGCATTAAAGATAGAATTAAAACCGACCTGGCACCATGGTGCATTTGTGCTGCTTTATTCTTTGTGACAAAGTTTGTCATCTTATCATGCAACCGTTCACTAGCCTGACAAGAAAATTATTGATCAAAGGCAAACCCAACGTGATAAATACTCATCAAAACAGTGTTAGCGTTATCAACTACACTTACATCTGCTATGTGTGCATGTCGAAGCTCTAGCCAGATAGGGTCGTGATCCTCCAAAAGGACCTCTTTTTTCTCAGGTACCCCAGTTTTGCTTGGAACCTTAGACAGAAGAATATTTATTTAGGTGATTGAAAATTTTTAACAGGACAGCCAAATAAATTATTAACACTAACTAACCTCGTGCACATATTTATTTCCCTCCATGTATAGCAGATCATGACACATGGCGTCATACGTCCATTCATGTATTATCGGAGCAATCTATGCACCATTGGAATAAATTAGAGCAAGCAGATGTATAAAAGATGGTCGAAAAAATTTATCTGAAAGCCAAGAGAAGTAGGGCACAGGAATCGACACAATGTCATACCTGATCTACAGATCTATCAAGAATAAGCAATTCACATGTTTCTGTTTGAGGGTAATTAGGTAGACTAGCTTTATATTTCATAAGACAATTCCAAACACCGGCAGCAAGCTTTGTCGGAATTAGGTCACGGAATGTGGTCATTGTAGTGGGATCAAGGGATTTAGCAGCACGGTACCGCACTGAAGGAAATTCCTGCAGAACATCAATGTCATTTAATCTACAGAATTCATGAATAGAGAACTTATCAAGCAACTGATGAATTTCAGTCTCCTACTCGCAGCGAAGCAAAAACAGTAGCAATCCTGGTTGCCATTGAATTCAAACATGCTTCGCCCTTGCGTGAAATCTCTTCTTCCCCAAAAAGCTCCTCCAGGGCCCTCTCATTATCAGTAATAAAACCCTACAACAACATGCAAATTTTTAAGCAAGCAGCCAATATTAATGCCAAAACCCAAAAGACCAAATTCCACCTCATTAAGGAACAAAGAAACAAAATAGCCAAGATAGTGTTATTGACATGTCTCAGCTATCTTCTATTCAATTCGAACCAAAAATAAAATTAAAAACAATAGATGGTTCAATAACTTTTCATTCATCCTCAAAATCCTAATTATTAAAAAGATGGAAACTATGTTTATGAGGCATAAACTAAAATAAAGTCAAATTACACATACCAATACAGTAGTAGAACCGAACATACCTGACTATCTATCGCAAAGAATTCCAAATTCATCTGCAGGTTTTCCACCCAATATGAGAATTCTCACAAATACAATGTTTCCCAAAAATTGAAAGCTCATAATCATAAATATTCAGTAACCTCACTCAAGGCACCAAGGCGAGGTAAAACACCAACACCCCTCTTTATCTGGCCCACCAGTTCTTTTGGTACAGAAGAACTGAAGAAAACAAATGCCCTAAGAAAGAGAGAAAAAGAGAGTTCTGAATGTTAGTTCAAGGAAACCTTAACCCACACAACTATCTGAAGCAAACTATAAGAAAACGGCAACTGAAAATAAGTGGGAAAGGGGGCGTGCTTACTTTTTGTACAAAGGAGATCTCCCAGACATATCAGACAAGAAGATACCTACACTGTGTACCCATAAAAAACCACAGAAGTTAATCAGCAAATAGCATTAGCATGATTAAACAGAATCTGGTGATTACATTGTGTTAGAATAGCGAACCCATCCATACATGAGTGAATTATTTAGAACAGTGATTCCATTAATGGGACTCCAAAATCTCAAAAATCCCCTGATGTTCCAATTAAAGATGCTCGGCACACAACCTTTAAGTTCAAAGGCAAGATTGAAAACATGCAACATTTCCAAATGCAGTTCATGTATTGGCATGAATTCAACGAAGCTAGAATCCTCTTCACTCAATTCAGGCGCAACTTTAGGTTAAACGATTGTTAGACAATTAATAAAGTTCATTGTTAGAAACCCATTATTTAGGTGGTTAAAGAATGTCAAACTAAACTCTCGTAAGAGAAAGGTGTTTACTTCTCTTGGGTTGGCTGAATAAAATATATAGCATCCATAGTAGGTAAAGGCTGCCGTCGCCTGTGTATATCTTCCACCACTGCAAAAGAAAATGGGAATCATCAGTTGATGTTGAGTACCATTCCAGCCATGTAAACATGTCAATATAAGATCAGTAAGATACGAATTCTTAGGAGACTGGCCTTCTAGTCTTACATGAAACTCCCTCCTCAGTAATATCTGCCATCTTGCATGCGTATGACATTACTTTAGTAGTCATTCTGTCCATGACAAGCACCTGGAAGTATTGAAGTCAAAGAAGATGGTAAACAAACAATAGATTAGCTAAGATAATGGATGAAACTAGACTAAGAACCCAAAAATTAAAAAATAAAAAATAAAAAATAAAAATACATAAACACATACTAACAAACCAGAGGAGCTACATAAACACATCCACGGTCACAGTGGGGAACCACTAAAAGTCAAGTAATACACTCTGAGCATAATGGCGGACATTATAAATGAAACTTTGAAAGAAGTTAAGTGAACAATGCCAGCCACGACTGTTTTTCATTCACATTCTACTATAGATCTTAAAAGCATTAATCTCAATTTCAGTCCGTAAACTAATTTTCACCATCATAAGAGATCATAGCCGATAGGAATATCAAAGATATCCTTTCTAATCTAACATTAATGCTAGATCATCTATAATCGACTATCTGATAATGAAACAACAGAAATATGAAGTTCTCTCTTACCTTCCAAGTTGATTTTGATTCTCCCTTTTTCGTTGATCGAAGCATTTCGTACAACAATCCTGGAGAAAGTACAAAGCACAACTTAATCGATCACAGCATTCACTTCAACCCTTATTATTACTTTATGCAGCCGTAATAAATGATATATACTCCTTTCTTACCACTTGTAAGTTGTAATTACATCATTAGCACTAAAAACTAGCAGTATAATACAACTAGCCAATACTTGAATTCAAAATAATCAAAGCGGACATATCGGCTAACAACAAGCTCCGTGCCTGCACTTCTATGTATACGCTAAACAATTTAACTACCCCGATCAAACAGAAAAGAAATGAACGAAAAAGAAGGGAAAAAGAAAGGAACTAATCATACTCCTACGAAGCTTAAAAAATTCAAATCACACATGAATTCAATTGTATTCGATAAAATTAAGCTCGAAACGAAGAAGAAAAGAAAAACAAAGCATGAAGTAAATTTGAATTAACTTACTATCACGGCTAATTTGGCGGAAAGTTTTGTACTCCCCGCCCTGCGACGACGTATCAGAATCAGACATGGACATCTTGGAACTCTCTACAAAAAAGAAAACTACCGCGCTTCCTTCAGGACGACAAATTCGAAAGCAATAACGGATCGGAGATCGGTGTGATCGGAATCGGAGCAAATTTGGAGACGGAAAACCGGAGTAATGATATTGGGAAAGGCAAGCACGAAATCCCTCCCAGGAAAGAAATAAAAAAGAAATGAAATTAATAAAATTGGGGAAGTTCCATTGTTGACTAATCAAAGCCCGGTTGTTGAATATTATGCGACCCGAATTTTACTAAATCTTCCCTTAACGGTCACAACTTGCAAGTCGGAACAGAAAAGAGTTTTTGATTGTGCGAATCGGGTCGGACAACTGTAAAAAGGAGTTGGTCTCGGCGCTGATGATTATGCGACGAATTTACCTTTATGACCTTAGATGTTCGTGGATTCTGTAAAAGTCTGCGCTTTTGTTTCTTTTTTTTCTTTTTTTGGTAATAACTATCTGGAAGTAAAGAACAAATAAAATGTACCAGTATTTTAATCAAGTAGAATATTATCAGAAGACGCGGTTAAGTTTTGATGGAGTTTAAGCCAATTCAAAAATTGCATACAAGTAAAGGATGGAATTTCTAGAAGCCATATACAATATTGTTACTTCATTTCTAGGAAATTTACAAGCAAACAAAGTGCATTTTGTGTTTTTTGCGTAAAATCATAAATTGCAAAATTGCGATTTAAGAGAGAAGAGTACACATCAAAATATGCACTGATCAATTGGTGAAATCAAGAATTACACCAAAAAATGTGTAGTCCGATATATATATATATATGATAAATTAATTTCGTAATAAATTATCTAACGAATTTACAAGGACAAAAAGAATTAGAAGATTTGAAGAACTATTTATCATGGTCAGATTCACACTCACAAAATATAAGAGTTTGACTAAAGCTAAAACTTCATTTTATGGAAAGTAAACCTCCTGTGTTTGCCATTGTCGAGAGAAAAATACAAGAACGAGAAAATTCATCATGATATGGCCATGTTGTGGAGAAGATGGTGGCCTCCAAGCACTTTTTCTAACCAAGAGAGAAAAATTAAATTAAGAAATTGTTTCGACGTGAAGATAATACTATCAATTTTGAATGTACAAGTAACCGTGTTATTATTTCTCCAAATTGATTTGAAATTTCGGAGCTGTTGCAAAATTTCAGAACTTCCATCATTGACGTGCTTCCTAGCATTTGAAAACACACATTTTTTATTTTTTTTTACAAAAGAGGAGGTCATTGCCTCATACCGCTACATTACGGGCATAAGAAATTACATCATACCGCAACTATTGAATGACCGATGCGGGAGGCTGTGTTAATTTCTTAACACCCCATTCAACTTGCTCGGTCATGCCGGCAAGGCAGTCGGCAGCAGAGTTGGCTTCTCTATGGGTATGATCTAACGACACCGTCCAATCTCTGTCCTGCAGCTTTCTGATCCCCAAAACCGTTCCTCCATGGATTCTCGGTTGAATTGCTCGATCCAGCACCAGTTTCATTGCTGCGGTACTATCGGTTTTCACAATGATCCTCCTTTCTCCAATCTCCCAAGCCAGCAGCAATCCTTGCCATATACTCCATAACTCTACTCTAACTATATTTGTTGCCCCTATGTTAACTGTGAATTCTGTAATCCAGTCCCCCAATTCATTCCTAATGAGGCCTCCACCTCTTGCTTCCCCCGTCACTGGATTATAGGATCCGTCAGTGTTTAATTTCGTCCACCCTGTAGGAGGAGGCATCCATCGAATTTGCACTTGTCGCCCGACTCCCTGACTAACCCTAATCGCTTAATTTCTCCCATACGCCTGGTGAATCTCCTCCACTTTCTTCCTTATCTCATCAATCATGTATCCCACCTAGTAATTGGCCTTGACGAACACAAACTCATTTCGCCACCCCCAAAGTTTCCAAACTGTAATTGCAAATGACTGGGCCCATTTCCCCTGCTTCTCTATCTGATTTGAGCAGATTCCTTAGCAACCAATCATTCAAATCATCAGATAAGAAATTCATGTCATCATTATTTATCAAAAGATGGTCCCACAGCTGCCTAGAGAATCGACAGTCCCTAAAGACATGAATAATAAATTCCTCCGTTAGACCACATCTTGAATATATGGTTGTATCTGTAATATGTCTTCTGTATCTTTCTAGATTCGTCATCAATCTGCCCTTAGCTACTAGCCAGAGGCATGTTTTCACCCTCTCTGGCCCAACCATGACCATATAGCCTTCCAGATTGGTCTCCTCTGTAATTCGATATCTTCTTCCACCAAGCTATACGTCGATCTTGTGGTAAACATACCATTACTGGACGCTGGCCAGCAGCACTTATCATGGCCTCTTGATGGATGTGCGGCAGCGTTGCTGCCACCTTCATAAGCTCCCTCACTGCCAGCAGATGCTGGAATAGACCCCAATTCCACGTGTCCTCCGACGAGACAAACTGGATCGCTGTCGCCTCTTCTTGGTCAGGCGGTATCTCCCCCAACGGCACCTCCTCCAATGGTCTAGATCCCAAGGTCCAGGAATCTTTCTAGAATTTGACAGACTTGCCGTCGTTCAGAATCCAATGCACTCCCCTTATTAGTGGCCTCCAAACCTTTGTAATTGACCTACAAACCATGGAACTATTTGTAGGGGTAAGAGGCCCAAATTTTGGCAATCCAAAGAATCCGTATTTCGCTCTAAACACACTGATCCAAAGCGAATCAGGTTTATTCAAGAGGGCCCAACCCAACTTCATTAGAAACGCTTTGTTCATGGATCGTAGTTTCTTAATCCCAAGCCCACCAGCCTCTTTCCCAACGCACACAGCATCCCAGCCCACCAAGCTCATTCTTTGGGTCTCCTCATCTCCGCCCCATAAGAACCATCTGCAAAGCCTTTTAATTTCATTCAAGGTTTTTGCTGGTAATAAAACGGTTTGCATATTAAAATACGGAAGTGTGGAAAGCACCGACTTGATCAGCGTCAATCTCCCGGCTAAGGACAAACTGGAAGCATTAAGCCCTCCAAGTGGTGCCCTATCTTTTGTCAATCTCCCATGAATCAGTGGAGTACCAAGTATTTCCCAAGGTTTGACACTTTGAGGAATCCCAACTTATTGTCCAAGAAAGTGCATGTTTGCCTTTCAATATTTTGCGAAAAGAAGACCCTGGTCTTGTGTTCGCTAATCTTCACTCCTGATGTCGTGCAAAATTCGTCCAACACCGATCTTATCACTTTCACTTGACGCTCTGTGGCCTCCATAAAAAATTTTATATCGTCGGCAAATAACAGGAAAGGCAATTTGAATCTCGAGCGGCCAAAAGTGGGGGGTCTCCACTCACCATTCTCAACCTTTTCCGAAATGACATGCCTGAGTCTTTCTATACATAATACAGAGAGGTATGGGGAAACAGGGCCCCCTTTGGCGGATTCCTCTAGTGGGTTGAAACTCCTCCGACGTAGCACCGGTCCACTGAACCTGCATTGAGGCAATTGTAATGCAATTCATCACACTTGTAACAATCAGCTCTGGCAGCCCTGCTTTTTTCAAAGTATCCTCAATGAAGTCCCCATTTAATCATGTCGTACGCGTTTTTCAGGTCGATTTTTATCGCTATAAAGTCTTTCTTGCCTCTCCTCGTTTTCATTAAATGTATGGCTTCTTGTGCTATGATTATATTGTCAGAGATTAGCAGCCCCGGGATAAAACTGACTTGGGCTGGTCCAATTATCCATGGCAATACAGGTTTAATTCTATTAGCAAGAATTTTAGTAATAATCTTGTAAACAACATTACAAAGACTAATTGGACGAAACTGTCGGATCGATTCTGGATGAGGCACTTTGGAGATTAGGACTATTAAGATTTTGTTGATCTCTGCTACACTCTCCTTCTCATTGATCACCCCCATGACCATTTTGCAAACAGAGTCCTTGACTACTGGCCATTTCTTTTGGAGAAACAAGGCGTGCAACTCGTCCAAGCCTGGGGCTTTTAAAGGATGCATCTCCTTTAGAGCTTCTATTACTTCAGCTTCTACAACCAGCCTATTCATAAAGATCACCTCCTCTGGTGGGATGGGTGGGAATACGTTGCTTCTACCATATTCCACTGGACAAGATATGGGTGCTGCATACAGTGATTTAAAATACAGAGTTGCCATTCCCTGTAGATCCCTCTGGTTCTCCACAATTTCACCCTCATCATTTCGTAATGTCGTGATTATGTTTTTCCTCCTAGGACGCTTTACATACGAGTGGTAGAATTTAGAGTTTCTATCCCTAGGTAAAGTCCATTATCTGTTTGATTTTTGTATTATGAGAAGCTCCTCTTGGACAAAGATCTCCTCCACTTCCTTTGACAACACCGACTCCAACTCGTCGAGTTTGGCCGATGTATAGGTCTCCTCGGCACGTTGGATTCCTCCCAGGCGAGCAAGAGTTCTCTTCTTCCTCCGAAAGATATTTCCAAAAGTTGTATTATTCTATCTCTCGGCCTCTACTGTGAAATTTCTTGATGCTTGTACAAAATTCTCCTCTGGCTTTCATGTATTTCCGAAAGTGTTTCTTCTTCGGGAATATCTTGCTTTTGCTTTTTGCCAAACACGATCGGTAATCAATGAGAATCTGAACCTTAATATTGTACATGTTGTTATATTAGACGCTCATTACGAAGATCAAACACTTAGAGCGAAAAAAATATATATATACTTCACGGCCAACATTTCCTCCCCTTCATTCTGCTTGGATCCAATCCAAACATTCCCGAATATTTAAATTTTCTGCTTGATTGTACATATTTATTTTAATTGTTTAGTACTCCTAAAAAAATTTTAAGAAAACCATTTCCACTCATTCTTTATTTTTCTTTCTAAACATTTATTTACCAATTTTCTTTATTTTCCCTCTAGTTATTAATTTTTTATGTTTTTCTAAAACTTTTAGAATCTAATTTATTAATTTTGTTACAGCTAAAGTCATATTTATACGATTTCCACCCATATTAATAAATTTATTTTGTCCTCGCATCCACCCTCTCTTCCCAACATTTTTTTTTTAAAAAAAATAACATTGGTATTGCCAGTAAAAAAAAAAATCATTAGAAAAAAAATAGTAATGATTAAAAAGACAAAATTATTAACTTTTAAACTTTTAATAATTTCCAACTAAAAAAAGATGATTTTGTAATTATATATGTCATATCTGTCTTATTTCATTATATATTTTTACTACATATATTATTTTTTTATTTTAAGAAAATCACAGCTAAAATTGTTAGGGTGAGGAAGAATAGAGAGTAAAGGTATATGATTATTAGAGAGGATGTGAAAACAAAGTAAGGGTTGGGATCTTGGCCACCGCAAGTGATAGCGAAGGTGGATATCCAATCTATTGTGATTTATGAAGATGGTTTACCAAGCTATTTCAGGGATGAAATGTGGTACAGTTCGGGTCATTAAGGAGTTAATGGAACGGACATGGAAGGTGGTACTAAGACATGAAATTCGGAAGCCCAACTTTGTGGGGGATTATTTGACATTTTTAGTGGCATCATGTCCCGGGGACTATTAATTTTTAGTCTCCACCGAATATAGTAAAACCGTGATAAGATCATGAATTCAACAATCTAACAATCTTAAGATTGACCTCTTTCGTTGTACAAAAAAGAAAAAGTAAAGGTTGGGAACATAATTTTTTGTTTTAGTTAGGCCATAAACCAATTCAACCTTAAATTTATTAATTAAGAGCTTAACTAATTAAAAACTTAAATTTTAAGTGCATTTGATAATTCAAAGTAAGATGTCTTAACAAATTAAGTGTGTCTGAAATGCTACTACAAATATGAGTCTAAAAATAAGTGATAGGCCTATTACTTATGACTGAACTGAATTCTTGAAACGATTGTTTTCCTGTTTAGTTACTTTTATGTTTATATTTTTTATGTTTTATCTTGAAATAATTTTATTAATCTTGATTTTTAGTTATAAATTAAAATTTATACAAATTATTTTTATTTAATAAATATTTATTTTAATATAAAAATTAAAAATCCGAATAAATTCCATGATCAATTATATTTGCCATAAAATATGATATTTTTTGATAATGATAAAGATATGACATTATTATTAACTGAAAAAATAATTACATAATAAAATTTAAATATTCTTATAACATAATTTTATAAGAATACTATTATTTATTATCATAGTTTCATATAAATCAATTATTATTTTAGATAAAATTATAAGTCGAGATACTTTAAATTTCAGTGTTCAGACTTCATATTTCAGACATTTTATTCAATCTTCAGATTTTGAATTTTATCAAACAAGAAAAACTTAATCAGTTCAATAATTATGATTCAGTCTTCAGATTTCAGACTTCAAACCCAAATTAAATTTTATCGGGGCCTTATTCATATGAAACGTTTCTTTTCAAATTTTGTTAAATGTTACATATATTTCTATATCGATGTGATTACATGCAACTTTTTTGGAGTCACGTAAAACAACTTAATAAGCCAAACCTAAGAGTTTGACGGGTAGAAATTATACATGTTGTGAAATTAAAAAAACAAAAAGAGTGAAAGATATTACCTCCCCAACTGCACAAATGAAACATTTCAAAAAAAAAAAAAACTGCACAAATGATGAAATGGCACAACTCATTCAACTAAAATTTGACTATTATTATAGGTCAAAATGGGTTCAAACCTAAAAAAGGTTATTAATTTGACATTAACAGTAGCAATTTTCTTTTTCATTGACCTAGTAAAATAATCGTTTGTTTGTCTAATAACTCATTTTCCATTTTCACTCATTTTACCTCTTAAACACAAAACCAATAAAAAAAAAACATCATCCAAACAACTTTTTAATTTAACTTTTAAAATATTGTGTTTAGTCATTATACAATTGTAAAGTCTTCGTTTTGGTTACTGAACTATTGTAAAGTCTTCATTGCGTTTGGTTACTAAACTATTGTAAAGTATTACGTTTGGTCACTGAACTATTATAAAGTCTTGTGTTTGGTCGTTATACTATTGTAAAATCTTCATTTTGATCGTTGAATTATTTTAATTTCATAAATAAACACTATACTATAATACTTTCTAAATAAAAAACTAAATTACCTTTTAAATCTCCTCTCAAATCCAAATCAAAAACTAAAAAAAAACATTGTCCAAACAAATACTCAGTAGTTATGCGAGCACAGGACATTATCAGTATGAACCTCAATGAGGCACGGTGATTGTAAAATGCTGGGGCCTAAAATGGACGTGCTTTGCTGCCCTCTGCCCACTGCTACCAAACAGAGAGCCCAGAAAAGGGAATAGTTTTCACTTTTAACCATCAATTCGATTTACTACTATAGCGGCAAGCAAAAACAGCTCACTAATCAAACAAAAACAATTATATTGACAAGAAAGCACATCAAACGAACTTGAATAGAAGCTGCAAAAAGCCAATTTCCTCCTGTACCCATTTTCCTTTGGCTTTTTTGCACCAAGAAAAATACTAGCTTTAGGGAAGTAACCAAAAAATGGGTTATCAAAAAATTCGGAGAATAGTACGCATCTTATCCAAATTACGTATGAAGCACATGACACGAGATGAAACCAAAGGAAAATTTTTTTGTCTAACCCGATGGAAGAATTCGAATAGTACCAAAATGCAAAAGTCCAGATTGACTTCACAAAGAACGCAAGAGGACTGTGTTTTCAATATGAAGAAAGAAAACAATCAAGAAAAGGCCAAATTCCAGTGGCTTTGACCAATACCCAGATTCTTAAAAAAAAAAAAAAATCTACAATCAAAATCATGCTCTCCTTTATAATTTTCATTTCACATATGATGTAACCAGCAAAAAAGGAGACAAAAAAGATCACTGCTTTTGCTCACTAGTTACTACTACATTTTGATCATATTTTTTTCCCAACTTTTTTGTGCTACGAAGGCGAAGCAAGTACTCCCTTAACATTAGTATTGCTATTGTAGTACCTGGAAAGAACCTTGCACTTGACAACATTGTCGTAGACATAGAACCCAGGCGTCACCATGATCCTAACTATGGTCGGGACCAATTTCTGAGCCTTGTTGTCACCACCCATGTCCTCCATGTAAATTGAATCGAAGGATGTCCCTTTATCCACTCTGAAAATGGGTAGGCTAGGATGCACTGAATGAGCCAAAAGGTGAACTAACCACAGTGCTTTAGATGCACCAAAAAAGGACTGCAAAAGTTGCTCAGGCCAAGCTCGATTCCACCCAAGCATAGCCACAATCTCGCTCATTTTCCTGTCACAAAACTTGCTGAAATCTTCGCTAAAATGCTTGGTCCCTTTGTTCAGAACTTCATCCCACGTGAGCCCTCGTAATCGGTTAAAGGACACAAAATTTGCTTCACAACGATCGATTGGATTCAAGATGGAGTTTGATGAGCTTTTCTGGAACCCAATAGATTCAAAATCTTCATAGAAGGCTTTGTTCAGTAATGCCTCAAGATACAAGACTAGACCCCTTGGATTTTTCGAAAACGAGACCTTGATTTCGTAAGGCTGGAGAAGCAATGAAATCCTGTCATAAACTTTTCCACCCATTTGTCCAAGCTGAAGAGTCAAAGCCCGAGCCAAAAGCCTCACAGAAGATCTAGCCTCAGAAACCGAAACCAAGAAATGTTCAATCACTTTGCCTTGATCATGACCAACTCTCACGAACTGATAATTCAGATGATGATTATTAAGCTTTGAATTAGACCCGGCCCTGTTATCATTATTCCCATTAGCACCATTATTATTGCTGCTACAAACTTCAAGCCCAGACTTCAAATTGTGGCAATAAATTTCAAGCTTGTTCAGCTTCTTTTCCAACTCTGCCATAGCATATTTCAACCTTGAAGCTTCAAGAATAGCCTCATCCCGCTTCCTGGTGGCTTGAATCAGTTTATGTGAGAGCTCCGCCGCCGCAAGCTTCCACTGCTCCTCCGTCGGAAGGCTAACTGAGTCAGTATCCGATGCCGACCTGGGGCTTTTCTTCGCCAAACCGGAGAAGATAGACTTGAAAATCCCATTTGGGCTGGCTAGAGATTGCCTGTGAACATTTCCATTGTTATCCACAACCTTCGAATTAGGCCGACACTTATTGCATGAAACCCCTTTATCGTCTTCCCGGCCAACAACGTGTCCATTACTACTGTGCCCCTTTTTCTTTGAACTCGAACTTGAAGAAGAAATTCCCCTGTTTTGTTGATGCAACGGAGTGGGATGATGGTGCCTCCCTTCAGCAGAATCATTTGGGGTTGTCGCTCTAAAACTGCTTCTTGACATCTCCTCATCTTCATTCCCTTCTTCAATCTTCAAATCCCACAAACAAAATTCAGATTATTTTCCAAACAAATACAGAATCAAACTTTTTTAAAAAAAAGAAAAGAAAAAAGCAGAAAAGGGAATAGGAGAGAAGAAATACTTACAGGAGTGAACTGGGGAGAAATTGGGTGTTTGGAAGAAGAAGTTGCCATAGAATTGTTCAAAATCTCATTATCCTTTTTTGTTTTTTGTTGGGCTTAACGCTACTAATTAGAAGGGGAGAAAGGATCGATGAAGAAGTATTGCTATCAAGGTGATGGGGATTCGAATTTTTTTTGAAGATTTGGTTTGGTTTTGGGGACAATTGTGGGTTCTGAATTTTTGTGTGATTCGTTTCCTTCAAGGATAGAAATTTCGTCGCCTTGTAATCATGGTTGTTTATGAATTTTGACAGAGTATTTCCATTTTCTTTTGCAGTCGGTCCTCTCTCTCTGGCTCTCTGCCCTCTTTCTGGCAGCAATTACTCTTTTATATTTCGAGCTCCCAATATACTTACCATGCAAATATAAATTCCAAGTAATCTGGCACTTATTTTATTGTTTTCTTCCGGAATTTATTGCTTCTGAATTCGCACGCGCCGGTGAACTACTGGTCAACTCCTATACGACAGCTTTTCTTTGCTAAACGCTCAGTCAACGTCAGTCTTCTGGGCTTCAAATCGTTGCTGATTGGTTCGTGAGTTCCACGGCCTTTTCCTAGTTCGAGAACAGTAGTACTCGCTACTCGCAAGTGTAAAAATTAATTTAAAAATTTTAAATTAAAATAGAACCCAAATATAGAGAAACAAAGTAAACTTGAAAATTTTTTAGATGCACTGCATTTTATGAAAATTCAAATTAGATACGCATAGATTAGTACTAGAATGGATCAGATTTTTCATTAATCTTTTTTTAGTAATTAGGGAAAGATACAAACAATGTAGCCAATCAAAATGAAGTTAATATAATAATTTATTCGATACAAATAAATTTATACCAAAAAAATTATTTAACACACATAAATAAATGAAGATTGGTTACTTTAGTTAATTACTATGAACATCATAAGAAAGAATAGAGAATTAAATCATATTCGCATTTTGGAAAATATCCACAATATTGAGGGGGAAACCAAGGAGGTAGACTCTTGGAGGCATTTAAATTGGAGAAGAAATATTCACAATTAATTGGAGTATCGACTACTCCCTCCATTTCAAAATGTAAGTTTTTTTAGACTTGGCACGTAAACTAAGGAGACAATCATCCAACAATTAATTTATGTGTTAAATATCTTTTTTACCCCTCATTAATTACATTGAACCTATAAAAAAGACTAAATAAAAATAAATTAGCATCATTTATTAGGGGTAAAGTTGGAAAAAAATCATTAATTTACCTAGAATTTGTAAAACGACTTACATTTTGAAAAAACTCTCCAAACCTAAAACGACCTACATTTTGAAATGGACGGAGTATTTCATAAATGGGGGATGTGAAATTTATGTTGTACTATATACGTGCATTTAATATAGAGGGGAAAATATAGGTTGTTTTTAATTATAATAGTTAATTACATCTTCCGCGTTGATACAATTCAGAAAGTTTATAAAGTTTTGATTTTTGTCCAATCAATTCTGAAAGAGGGCACCTCTCTTTCTCTAATTCATTTCTTTCGGTCCCCCTTTTGCCTTTTGGATCTAACTCAAAATATTTCTGGATGGATTAGTCAACTAAACAAATATATGGTTACATGAAAGAAACTCATACACATTTAACTAAAGATCGGGTGTTCGAATCCTATATTGATTGTAAAAGCAATTATATAATCTTTCGAGTAACTATTTCAGACATCAAGATTTCTCTAGTACAAGAAAAAGATAACTCGAGTAACACTAATCATAATCACTCTTCTATATGTAAAACGAAAAAATAAAATAAAATAAGCAAGCATCTTCTTCCATTAGTCATGAGTAATATTGTAATGTACAACATAATAATAATGAAGTTTTGGTAGAAAAGTTCAATTTTGTTTTGGGGCCAACTAGCCTAGCTACTGGCTTGCGTGCGATATGTAATTTTGTTAGGAAAACCTTTCTACTTCAAACCAAATACTGACACCTACAATATTGCATATCTTATAAAAAGAGTGAAAATGAAAACAAAAATATGGTACATTACATCGTGACAACAACCACAGTTTATGAAATTAAACTGTTTCCTTAAAATATAAAGAAAGCTATCATCATCTGGTAAGAATTCAAGTCCAAAATGATACTCCACTACAATTGTTTGGAACTGAAGTCATATAATTTAGTCTAGTACTGTGACATTTTCAAACCAAACACATTAAATTACTCCTTCCGTTTCTTACTCGTAATTTAAATTGTGCTTTATAAATAAGACGAAAAAGAATACGAGAGTGTTCGACATTAATTAGCTAAAATACGGTATTGATGAGAAAAATTTTTCAGCGGTTTGTCGGTCTATCTTATTTAATCATCCGGAGAGTTTCCCATATAATTTTCTTCCTGAAATCACGTAGTTGATGAAGATGGAAACTTTGTCTTCTCCATGCATCTTCTAACACCGATTACGTTGTCTCTTTGTAACTCCACTTGACTTTACTACGTTGTATGTACGTAATTACAATTTTGTTTCTTCTGATCTGACGGGTCATCAGAATTTTGGACGAAAATGGTGATAGTAAACTCAAAAAACAAAAAACAAAGAACAAACAAATTATCTTCACTGCATCTCCCTCAATAAATGTCAGCGGGCCTCGTCGTCTTCTGCTCCCTCCAAAATTAGCAAAACATCTTTGATTTTTTCACTTGTTAACCTTTCCCTTCAATTTTCATGATGAAATTTGGCGTACAAATTGACTGAAATAGTACTGACATTGTAGAATGCAATCATTAGCTAGACGAGGGACGATGTTAAGAAATTATTGTATCGTGACATTGGAGTTCTATATGGGGGCAAGTGTGACGATACATACATAAATTACGGTTTTATTCCTAAGGAATATTATCAAATTAGGTCAACTAATGATCTTGGTTAGTTGGATTGCTTAGATAAGAAATACAATTATGAATCGAGGCTTAGCGACTAGTGACAAGGCTGCGTAAGTGATAATTACATAAATCCGTCTCATTGTAAAAGTCATGTTGAATTATTTAAAAAATGTCGAAAAGATAATATCGAAGTTGTGAAATGTTTCGATCAATTTATAGAGCTCTTGCAGATTATTACTGTCGTTTTTTTTTTTTACGGTTCATGCTCGTACCATAACTTAGTAACTCTCCCAATTTAAGGATTGCTACGGCACATCAAATTTATTGAAGACAGAAAAAAAGAAAAAAAGTTTTAAAAAAAAAAATGCAGAGCAAAAAGATGAATTCATGTAGAAGTCTGAACACTGAAACCCGTCTCCTGATGGAGTAGTAAATGAATGCATAAAGAGACGAGAAACCAAATGAAGGAAGAACGACAAGAAAGTAAAGGTGAAAGCATTAAGTGAAGAGAGATATGAGCGTGGGAATTGGGGAGGAAAGAAAAACACCGTTTGAAGAAATGTGTGAATTCATAGCAAGTCATTGAAATAGTAAAGCGATAGGAAAGTTGGGTCATTCTCGGCAGTAAAGATTTGATAGAAAAAGAGTGGTACTACTACTACACTAGCTAGCTGGTAGGGATATGGTTTAAATGCAGTTGCGGCATTAAATTTAGATGGTCACATTTAAGACCTTCAACTACCTCATATTAACTCCATTGGGACAACGATTGGTCTAATGGGTTGATCATGATGACCGAATTTCAAAAAAAATCAAAAGAGCCCGCGATATGAAATGAAATAGGGATAGATTTGATGCAAAAAAAAAATTTTAAGGGTTTTGGAAAATGCATGTGAAGGTAATAAATGAGACAACGAGGAAGGATGTGTGTTGGGTTGGGTGAAGTGTGTGCAACAAAAAAAAAAACAAAAGAATTGAATTCGGGCACAGCGGTCCCCGTGGGGCGCTGGCCGGCTGAACTGATGCCTCTGGGAAGTCTGGCTGACCTTACCGGTCTACCCCACAATTTCCTCGGTTTGAAGTTTTTAGTCCTACAGTATGAGACAACCGTCTCGTTTATGTGTTTGGAAAAATTTGGTAACATTCCACCAAATGGTTTAAAAAGTACTGGCCATTCTTCTTATTTGAATGGCATTTGTGATATACTTAGTAGCAAATTACATAACATATGTATATATCACCGAACCGTCGTCTACAAACAGTGTGCAATATTAAGGCGTAATAACATTAACAAACGGTCCGTGGGAATGGTAAAATGGCTATCTTTGTGGTTTTGAGTTGTTCTCATGGCAAATTGAAAATTGCTAACCAGATTAGCTTTGGCACGAGTTGCTTTTAAGAGAAGCTGATAAATTGAACCCAAATTTCAATTTTTTTTTTTTAATTTTTTATTAACTCTTCCATGGTTAAATAAATACGGATTAATTTCAACTCGTATTCCCTCCCAAATTTCTCATCCTCTAATTTGATTCTTTATCTTCTCTCCCTCTAACTCTTGTTCTAATCCCTCTGTAATTCCCCCTCACATTATCCGCCTCCCAAATTTTTGATAAAATTTGACAATAATATGATGGTTGCTTTTACTTTATGGTGTGAGTATCCCTTCTCCTCCACCCCCGGTTGATGACTGAATCAATTTATGGAGATCCTTACCTTTTTCTTTTCCTTTATTCCCCCCTCTTGGCTGATTAAAAATTTAAAAATGTTATTTATTGATTTATTTTGCATATTTGGACTGATAATCTCCTTCGTTCAATTCAAAGGAAATCACAACTTGCGTATATTGTCAACAAAATGATTAAAAATTTCATGTACTCCCTCCGTCCCATAATTATTGTCCATTTTGCCCAAAAAATTTTGTCCCAAAATTATTGTCCAATTTGACTTTTTATTGATCAAGTTACACATTTGTTCTTAGTAAAAAACATTATCCATAAAATCTTTGTGGTTAAACAATTACTTATGTAGGGGTATATCCGGTTGTTCAAGGTAAAATATAGTTAAGTTTGACGAAAAATAAAATTTTCTATTTTAGTAAAACTGGACAATAATTATGGGACGGAGGGAGTATATGGCAATTTCTTCCTTCCTAGGCCATTTATTAATATATTTTCATCAAAATATTTAAGTGATTAAAATATTGAATTAATATAACTATGCCTATAATTTTAACCTCCTTCGTTGAACAACTAACTCTTTAGTTTTTTTTTTTTTACAAAAAAAAAATTTAAGAGTTTAAAATTGAATTGAACTCATGCTAAATTTCAAATCACGGCGGAACTCGTTCATTCCTAAATATAGGCTTAACCATAACACATTTTTATTTTTGAATACGAAGAAACTCACAAGTTTAGTTACAAAACTTCTAAGATGAATGAGATGAAAGTATTAAACCAACGTATGAATCAAAGTGGACGGAGACGTGAAATAATGACAAACCGGCATACAAGCAAGAACTTCTAATCCAGGTGATTCAAAAAAAGGCTAAAAGATCCAGTGTCAAGATAAAGTTTAAGAACCAATAGCCCATCTTCTATTTCCAAAATTCCAAATGGACCAGTAGCCCATTTCTTCTTTCCGATGTCACGTGCTGATCAACAGTTGTCTCAAAACCATCTAACTTCCTCCATAAACAAGCACTTCCATAAATTTCATATTGACATCAATCACTACCAAAATATGAGAGTTTTTATCCCAAATAATTTTCAATGGAAGGACCTGATCAATAATATATGTCGTGGAATCTCCTTATAATAGTTTCAGATTTACCAAATTCGAATTTATAGTATCATACTAAGAGAGAAACCAGAGAGAGAAAATCAAACTTCTTCTCACGTTGACACATAGGACAAAATCATATATGTCATTTTCCTATAAGTTGACATAAAAAATATTTACAGCAATTACACTAATTGTACTTTAAATTCTCAGGTAAACAATTGTTATCAATTCGGGTAAAAGGTGTTTCTGCTCTTAAATTTTCAATACAACTATCTGATGTATTAAAAGACGTTACATCAGATAGTTGTATTATAAGGAGACTAGATGTTACAACAATTATAAAACATATTTAAAATTTTACTAGATTTTTAAGTACTATTGTAAAATTATCAAGTGCTTCTGCTCTTAAATTTCTATTGTAATCGTGAAAAAAAATATGCTTATAATATTAAAAAAATAGTTGGAATTATTTAGATTAGAATCATAAGATGCATTAATGTGTGTACTTCGACTAAAATTACATATATCTCATCGGAAAACTATAATTATTATGTGTTATTAATTTTTATTTATAAATATGTAATGAATATCACGAAATATTATTTTTGATTTTTAAAAGTGTTATTATAATCCACAATATGTAATATTCATTTTTTTTATCCACAATATGAAGTATTTATTTTATTTTAAAGTAATTATATACCTGTCCCAAATTACAACACAACTTTTTTAATGGATGGAAATTAACTAATAACCTAGACTAATGAGCATTTGTGCAAATACTACGAAAGTTAAGGGCTTAAGGGGAAATTAAAATTAAAAAAAAAAGTAGAAAAAGAAGTATCTTAGCGCGTGGCAGTACCGAATTGAGTAAGAGAGAATACACACATTCTTCGGTAGAATGATCGAGAAATTTTTAGTTTAACCTATAAATTGATAGTCGGGAAATCATTCCATATTTATCTTCTTCTGATCTTCAATTGTTGATTCCGCGGTATCTCCAGGTAAATCTTCCCGCCTATCGGTTCCTGTCTCGTTCAAATTTTAATTCACCTTGATGATTCTGAAAAAAGTGATTCATTACTTCCTTATGCACTCTGATATTTTTTTTGCCCGGTCGCTATATTTTGGTTTTGGTTTGCTTGGGCATCAGAATAGGGTGAGATGATGAAAATAATTTCTGAATTTGGTGGTTTTTTGTATTCGTTATTATTAGATTGGTATACCTTGCGGTTAGGTTTTTGCAGAGAAGTTTAAAAGATTATCATTTCATGGTAGATGATGGGAATTTCTCTTTTATTCATTAAATATTTCTGTTCTGGTCGTTCTAGATGAATATGAATGATGTTTGATTATTTTACTGAGTTTTATTCGTCGTGCAGAGATTTGGTAAATAAATGTGTTATGTGACCTGTTAGTTATGATTGGGGTTCTATTCTTCTTCCTTGATGTACAGAGGGGCTTGAAGTACCTTTACGCAATCTGAAAGGGTCATTTGTAGTTGCGCCTATCATTTAATTTAGAGTTTACATGGATTTTCAGATATATTAGACTTTTTTGTCTTTCTTTTTTGTTAGCATTTCAACGATCATATGAGGTTCCTGATTATAGATTCTTTTTAGACCTTCTCAGGTGTGTTGATTGTTGTATTATGTTTGTGACAATTTTTCTGCTATTGGAAAGTTCTTACTTGCCTTTGATCCGTGTATACATTGATTGGCGGCATTAGATGCGCCGTTGTTAGGTTACTTAATGTTATTTATAAATGCTCACTTTTATTTATTTGAGTCATGTTTAGTGGAGAAAAGGGCTTGTTGTTGTTGTTGTTCTTGGGATCATGTTCTAGTGAATGGTATGCTTCATTCTGCTTTGGTTCGTTTCCCATTTACTTCAGTTTTCTTGGGACTGCCTGGACTACACACTTTTTCTTTACTTCCGTCTTTTATTATGTTGTTGTTGAAGAAAGTGGATATCTGATTTTTTCTTCTGTGCAGATCGGTCAGTTTGCTTTAGAGTCTACACAATGAACGGAAGAGATCCTTTCTTTGGTTTTGGCGACCCGTTTGCCAATTTTGGTGGTTTTGGTGACCCTTTTGCCAATTTTGGCGGTCCTGGTGGGCCACGAGATTTAATGTCTAGCGTGTTTGGAGGAAGAGATCCCTTTGCTGATCCATTTTTCACCCGTCCATTTGGAGGTATGTTCGAGTCGGGCTTCTTTGGCTCTGCTGGAAATCCATTTGTTGGTGCACAACCATCTGGCTTCCTTGGAAACCAGCCACCTCCTCCACCCCCTAGATCCAGGGGTCCAGTTATTGAGGAGTTGAACTCTGATGAGGAAAAAGATGAAAAAGAAGGTGCAAGTGAGAAGAAAGACAACCCTAGGAAGCATGGTAGGTCGAGCAATGAGCCTTTGGTTGAGATTCCAGATGACGAGGCTGAAGGTGATAGTAATTTCCTCTCTTGAATTCTAACAAGTCTGAATACCATAGACACACGTGCACACAAACTCACATACACAGAGTTTTGGGCCTGCGGAGTAATTTGTTTTGTGTACAGGGAGAAGAAGGAAACAAATGCAGTTCTGGAATGGTGGCAATATGAGTAATATTGCACCGCCTCAGCACACAGGCCATAGCTTTAGTTTCCAGAGCTCCACTGTCACTTACAGTGGTGGAAATGGTGCATATTACACTTCTTCTACTACAAGGAGAACCGGGAGTGATGGTGTGAGTCATTTGCAATCATGATTGACGTTGAAGGTTTACATGTTTGTGTGTTGAGTTTGTGATAACATTGGATAATTTGCAGTTGACTTTTGAGGAAAGGAAAGAAGCTGATTCAGCGACTCGTCAAGCCGCACATCAGGTCTCTCGGGGAATTCATGGAAAGGTATACACTTAATCATTTAATGGATCTGGAGTTCATTTTGTTTTTTGCCTTAAAATACTGGTAAAAGTAATAACTCGTTTGCTGTTAGGGCCATTCTGTCTCTCGGAAATTGAACTCTGATGGTAGGGTAGATACCATGCAAACTTTGCACAATCTTGAAGAAGGTAGGTTTACAATCATTTTGCTTTTTCAGAACCAATTATTTCACTTTTTCATTGACCAAAAGATAGAATTTCCGTGACATGTTGTCTTCTATATTTCTGACTGGTTGTGTTTGCTTTTTATTTGAAAGATGAGCTTACTAGTTTTGAAGAGAAGTGGAAAGGAAGCGCTGCAAGACACTTTCCTGGCTGGAGTGAGGGTCGAAATACGCTCGACTATGGAAGTAAGTGTGATGATTGCATTTGTGTTTGAATTTTCCCGCCCCTTTGACCTTTTGGAGTAGATGTGTTTATGTATCTTCTGCCTCGGATTTATGACTCCCCACCTGTCCAGTCCTCCGCCTTTGAACTCTTATGTTGAAGTAGTTTAGTTCACAAATGTCTTAAACTGGCCAGTTGTTTGCAAGGTTGATGTTTTTGTTGGTTATATGTTTCATGGCTATGATATTATGAAACATAATTACATATGAATTTCATGATGTCACCTCAATATGGATACTCCCTCTGCTTTTGGTAATTATTAGATATTCAATTGTTTGAACCAAAATATGAATGTCTTGGAGACATGGAACTGCCATTTGTTCACAATCTGTTTGTCTCATATCACTTGACCGATCAAGTGATAAAAAAGCGTGGGTAATCATATGTCAAATGTCATGTCCTGGAGCTGGTGAGTTGGTTTTTTCTGTAGGGTGGCTGTGTAGTTGATTGAAGATTTTGTCTTTTTGCATTGGAACATGTGTAGGCTTCAGTTAATTTTTTTGCTTGCTTCCATGAAGTGTGAACTGTCTGTCTGCTTGATGCTTTATCCTTCCGTTCTTTATGAAAATGTTATAGGATCTGGAAACAATATCCTAAATGCACCAAATCGGGGAAACTTGGCACTACCATATGCTGAAAGGCCACGTCAACCAGGGCACGGCGTGAGGCCGGAAATGGCAAATGCAGGAGGTCCTTCTCGTCTTCACCAAACTGGAAAGGCAAAGGCTGAAGCTGGTGGTCAGTCTGGTAGTTCTTCATATGGTAGATCAAGGGATCAAGCCAGGAGATGCTAAGTTGTCATTGTTTTCACCGTTACCTTAGAATATATTCGATGCTCAAATGTTGTAAGAGAATAGAGATGTAGGGCTTATCGTTATTTTCTGGCGGAGTGTGGAGGATTGCCTCTTAAGGAGTAAGGGAACATGATCTTTTGTAAGGTGGTTTTTGGAGTAGTGTAATGTGACATATACCTTACCCTAGTAGTCATTTCCCTTTCTGTTGTGGCTAGTGAACACAATTTTTTAGTTTCTCCTTAAGGGAAAACTCTACAGCAAACTATTTTTCCAAAAGGCAATTCACTAACAGATGGAAAATCTTCCTTGCAGGAGGCTCCTTAAACTAGATTAAAGCACTGTACCGCATGTTCAAAGTAAAACATTAAAAAAAAAAATTGACAAGGAGACTAAACTGTGCGACTTAACAAAATAATGTATTAATTTCATTCATTATAAAAATAGGTCTTCACATAGAGTGGGGTGAAATTCCTGCAGTATTACTTTTACTAATTATTACACGTTATGCATAAACTCAGAAGGTTAAACAAAAAAGATTTATACAATAATATGATCGATAATTCGTTATGTTGGAGCCTAAGTTTTATTCAACTTCCATTTGGTGAGGTTAACCTGGTATATCTCAAAAATTACTTTAATCACTAAAACAATTCAATATTGTTGAAAAAAGCCCAATATTTTCGAAGTTAATTTTCTATCCTCATTTACCTCGCCCATGATGTGGCTATTTCGTAAATATTGTCCTAAGATAATATGTTTGGCATAACTTATTTTCCATAAAATTGAGTGAGATTCATAACTTATAATTAATATGATTACATGTAATAATTTAATATTATGTGAACTTGATTCGAGCAAGAATTACAAAAAATGCGATGAACAAATTAAGAAAAATATTTCAAAATTTTCTTTGAATTCTAAAGTACAATGATGATAGAGACTGCAAATTAATACTCACTCCATTTCAAAATGTAAGTTATTTTAGACTTTACACGTAAATTAAGGAGACAATTATTTAATAATTAATTTGTGTGTTAAATTTTTATTTTACCCATCATTAATTGTTTTAGAATTATAACCAATACTAAATGAAAAATGGTTAGCATTATTTATTAAGGGCAAAGTTGAGAAGTTAGTCTTTAATATATTTGAAATCCCAAAACGATCTACATTTTGAAATATTTCTCCAAACTTAAAATGACTTATATTTTGAAATGGAAGGAGTACAACATTCTAACAGGGAAACAAAAGGTGTAATGGAAAAGTAAAAGAGGGAAGAGGTGAAGAAAATTGAGGAAAAAAATCAAATGAGAATAATGAAAATAAGTAATTTCCGTCGACCACAAAAAAAAAAAAAATGAGAGGAAAAACAAGCGTATTACTACTTCATTTCCAAACGAGAAAATTAATAACAAACCAAAATAAAACAGAAACCGGTTCACTAGTCACTCTGCGTTTCCAGGTTTATCAAGTTCTCTGCTATAGGGTTTGTTTAAGCTTTGAGGAAGAAGGATAGAAATGGCGTTAGTCAGGACTACAGTTAGGGAATTTTTCCGTCCGGCTTCGCTCTTTCCGGAAACGGTTAGGGGTTTATTGCGGCTGCCTTCGCCAGGGACGGTGACTGAGATTTCTCCGTTCAGTCGATTCAACCTTCAATTCTTGTCGCGAGGCATAAGTACTACCTCAATCCGTTGCGCTGCTGCTGCTAATGAAACTAGCAGCGGAGGGAAGAAGACACCGGCGAGGCTGGCTCAGGTTCAGGAGTTCTTAGTTATTGCAAATGAACGTGCTAAAGGAGCTGGCGATGAACCTATTCCTAAAGTCACTCTAGGTAAATCAACGTCTTCATTTGTGTTACTTTGCTCTCTGCTGTTGGTTTGATACTTATTGCCTGACGAAATGGAGAATTTTTCTCTTTTACTTATATACGTGGGCTTAAAACTTTCTAGAATACAGTTTATGTCCTTGGGAGATGTGGATGTGTGTTTGATTCATCTTTGGAAAATTATTCCGATTTTGTGAAAAATTGACGACTAGATATGATTAATGTGACGTTTAAGCTTAGATTGGAAGTCCTAGAAAAATGATGATCTGGGATTGTTATGTCTGGAATGTTTGTAAAGACAGTTGAATCAATTAGGGAAATGAAACTGTTTGATATCTTAGGGAAAGGTTTCTGTAAGTCTTGTTATATGTTTTTTTGCTATGCTCATGAAAACCAAGACAGATGCTCATTTAGCTGATTTCAACCCACTTTTTTAGGTTGTAATTACTTTGAACTCATGTTATCCATAAAGAATCTTCGACTCTGATGTTATCAATGCTTGTCGCCGATTGTGCTCAAATTCATTATTGCTGTTTCTGACCTGATTTTGCATGATTTGGAAGTTCTATTATGTCCTTCCCAATTACTGGAATAACTTAAATTTTCTGCTTTTATTGAGGAGAAAACTTAGAATAAAATTACATCTGAAAATTGGCTTGTTTTCTGTATTGGTGAAGCTAAAAGGTCAAAGCATTTGGCATGAATTATGGATGTCTACTTAGTTGAGTTATTTGTTTTGGAGTTGAATAATTAGCTGATCTACCCCTTTGCTAGGAACATTGTTACTTCAAATTTTACTGCTACATCTTAAAGTGTTTTCCTATTTCGATTTTCATCAGTATTGTTTAGTGTTTACTGGTCATGCAATCATCAGTGACTTCGTCATCATGTTAGTATAATATGTGTGACCCTGTAGAGTCGTGACTTCATATAATACTTTGTTTTTGGATTTGTCAAAAGAATTGAAAATAAAGGGTTTCTAACACATTGTTTTGCTTATTCTCAGACCATGTTACCGTGAACTTTGCAAGAAGTGGTGGGCCTGGCGGTCAAAATGTCAATAAAGGTCTGCGAATAGCTTGTTAATGAGAAATGTATCTGAGCTTGTTATCTTAAATTCTATTGTAAGTTGTGGTACCTGTATTTCTGAAATTTATATGTATTCCCCTTTACGCCTTCCAGTGAATACCAAGGTGGATATGCGATTCAATGTCAAAGATGCTGGTTGGCTTAGCGAAAGAGTCAAGGAGAGGATCCTGCAGAAGGTTAGATATTGTTGCTTCTTTTAGTGGTTTTTAATCTTTTCACATTGTTCAAGGTATAGTTCTTTTGCTGTCATTGGCTTAAAGCCTAAACTGCTTAACTGATATTTGGTACTATTAGGTGCCTGGCTGTCTCTAGCCTTATGCTTCTCTCTTGGGTTTTTACCTAGTGTTCTGGGTTTTTTTGTTATCCTTTTTTTTTTTTTTCTGGGAGGAAGGGATTGGACGCTGGGTACACTGTAGCTTGATGGTTGACAGGATGTTGGGGTTCTTTTTCACCTTGGACGCTTACCATCAACTTGCTTACTCCTATGATTTTTTTTGTTGATCTCCTAGAGTTGAAAAACATTTCATCAAAAGTTGTATTAGGGTTTCCTTTGGATTTACTCTTGTGCTATTGGTATTTGGCTGTGGTACGAATTATCTACCTATATTTGGTTATATCTCTAACTCTGCTCTGTTTGCCAACAGGAGAAGAACCGGATAAACAAGGATGGAGAGCTAGTCATCTCATCCACAAAGACGCGCACCCAAAAGTGAATTCTTTCTTATGTCTTAGCATTTCTCCCTACTGTTGGCAAATCACTTGTTAACATTGAGTTACGTGCTGCAGGGGAAACATTGAAGATGCATTGGCAAAATTACAGGTATTCACGAGACTATTAAAGAAATTTCAGGTACTGTCATGCTTGTCCTTGTGCCACTAAAATATGAGCCGTCCGGTTGTTGATGCATTAAAGCCATCAATGGATGTGAAGTGACCTTCTGCGGGTATATTAAGTGTTCAGTTGTGGTGCACCTTCTTACTTTTTCAATCCGCGATACAGGCTATTATTGATGATGCATGTTATGTTCCACCACCTCCATCAGAGGAGACAATAAAGAAGATCAATAAGTTGTAAGAGGTTCTTCGAGCTAAATCTACTTTTTTCCATATAATCTTGCATAGTTGCTTGCCAAGCCAGTCTTAACACTAATTAGGGTTATACATGAAATCCTTGTTTGCTGTTGACTTATTCTCCTCACTTTTCCTTATTTGTTGACTTGCATATTTCACATGGAGATGTTTTGTCGCATGCTCATCTCTTGTCTCCTTTCATTTTAAGGATTAAAACACTAATATTTGCAGCAAAACATGAATGTTGTTGTCATTTTCCTGCATATCGCTCCCGCTTTTGTTTTTTTCTTTTTTGTACTGGTGACTGTATTTCATCGTGTTAGTGCTTCACAACTTGGGGAAAACATACTTTATATCTTGCAATAAGTGTTTTAAGTGATTTCATCTCTGAGAAATCCTTTGTATCACTTGCGCTTAACTTGTGAATCTCTTTCTCCCTCTCCCTCTCTCTCTCTCACACACACACACAGACACACACAATAGTGTCTTCATGTTACTTGCATGTCTTATTATCTTACCTTTCAGCGAAGTGTATATTAATAAGGGCATTATAAGGTCTATTGTTATCTGCATTTCCTTGTATAAGATAAACTCCCTATTAATATTCTATCTTCCTCTGGATTTAGGGCTGCTATTGGGGAGCAAAAACGTCTCGACAAGAAGAAAGCGGCGTCACAGAAGAAAGCGTTCAGAAGAAGCCGTGACAGCTGGGATTAAATCATGACGCCGGGTGCTGATAGTGCCAGCTCTTTTGCGGTGGATATATGTAAGTTTTATGTCGTTCACCTCTGTATTCATCAGTTTCCTATGCAAATTATGTCATTCACTGCTGTAATGAGCAGTATCTTATCTTATTCAACGTGATGAGATTTCACCCTTATCATTTTTCTACTGCCTTCTGATATTGCAGCTCCTTGACGTGTCATATTCTAGTAGATAGTAAAGATGGATCTCATTCTTTGCGCAGGCAGAATGCTCCAGAGGAAAGTAAAGCTACATTTTGTCCGTTGAATCGAAGTAGTGGATCCAGATATTGTCATAGAATTGTACACATATCTTTTTATTCTTTTTGTAGCTGTGATATTATCAGTGGGAGAGTTTTCATCCCTGAAAAATAGAAAACTTAATGGTATTCAACCCTCATGCAATAAACTCTTAATAATATGAACTTATAGAAATTTCATGATTGTGGACCGATTAGAAACTTTCTCAGATTGAAGTGCACAGAAATTGTCGTGACGTGATTCGACTTTCGACACATGCATTTTATCGGCAGAATATTATCTACCTATCTATCTGCTCAATGTATCTTTCAACTCAACAGCCCTTCTCAAAAAAGATGAGGTTTGTAGCCCTACAAATGGTGGTCGGTCATGATGTAACTGGTTTGTTCACACACACAGACACTCTTGGTCTCATGAAATCTGAACATAAAATGTAGGTTAAAAGGTTGAGCATATCTTTATTGACATTTACGCAATTTCTGTTGTAGCCTTATTGTCACTTGCGTGATAGACATGGAAGTAGTACGTCTTGAGAGGCTAACAATGAATTCAATGCAGCCATCTTCAACAGTAGTTCCTCTAATCACTCCTTAACAGTTTCACACATCACTGCGTTAAAACACACACGCACACACACACACACACAGGGGCCGTGTTCAAGTGTGGCTTCGCATTCATTTCCGTGCAACTTTATTCAATTGACTAACAGAAAACACAAGTCAAACCTCAAATCTGAGCACTGAAAAAACCGGTCAGTTCAGCAGTAAATGACCCGAAAGAAGCAAATTTTACACATTTATTTCCCTTCTGTCTATATAAAAACAAATTGCGCAGAAAGAAAAAAAGATTTTATATTAAAATCTCAGACTAATAATAATGAAGAGAACTTTATATGCTATGTACAATCTAGCTGATTGCAACTGGAAAAATCCCTTTTTTAACCTTCATCAGTTACAATTCAAAACAGAAAATGTTTTTTTCTACTACTATTCTTTTTTCTTGAATTCCTAATGACTGACTATTCATTCCCTTTTCCTTCTAGATTTTCCCAATTCCAATGACTAATTTTTATCACTGATGGGGTTAAAATTTAATCAACAGATAAAAAAAAAAAAAATCAAGTTCGGATGAAAATCTCCTCTCCTGTTTTCCGATCAACGTGTTTAATCCACCTGCTCGGACCCTTCTTCGGACCAGAAATGGTTGCCCCAACATGCACGATATCCAAACCATTCCCCACCGGAAGAAAAACATGCCGGACAATTCTGGTTTTCCCGTCAAGAACATTCCGCCACCCAAAATCAGAGGCGGCCCTGGAGCTGGCGTTCTTGCAGATCAAAACAGCACCCCTTTCCCCTAATTTAGCAACCCTGAAAATGTTTGCGAAATCTTTCCTGCTGGAATCCACCACCATGAAATCTATCCCCTCTATTCCCCCCACCAACTCTTCCGGCTTCCCGACCTTAACTTCCGGCACCGGTTTCCCGGCTTTCTCCATTGCCTGAACGTACTCTGTCTTCGATTCTTCATCTGGAACAATGCAAACATGTTTCCCACCGGCGTAGTGGCTCGCAATTGCAAGGCCAATGCTTGTCTGCATCATCCCGCCTTTTGACCATGTTTCCACAATCAATTTAGCGTTCCATCCAGCCGCCATGGCTGATATTAGCTCTGCCACACTTGATTCATGAGAGAGTTTACACTGCAAAAAAAAAAAAAAAAAAAACAGAAACAAACCCATGATTAAACACCTTGTTTAAAGCTATAAAAATTATGACTTCAATAATTATAAAAATACAAAAAAAAAAACTTACAGTCTTGACAGTATCAATAAAGGCCTTTGAGGCAGTTTCAGCAGACCAAACAAGCTTCATAGCTTTCCTCTGTTTTCTTGATGAGATTTCAAAGAATCTTCTGGGTTAAAAATTGGTGATTGTTTTCTTATTTTGGTCTGGTTTTCTTGGTCTTCAAGTCTTTTTAAAGAGAAAAGGAAATTGTGGTATTCTTTGATGGAAAAAGGAAAGAAGTGGGAGAGAGGGTGAATTAAGGTGATCAATGAGGTAATAAGGAGAGGAAAGATGTTTGAGGGGGCTTTTAAAATGAGAGGGACAGGCACCTAGAAAAGGTCATCTACAGCCGTTGACAATTGCAACTAACTCCAACGTGGAAATTACACTTAGATTTTCATTTTTCTACAATGATCTGATACTACTTTTAATTTTTTAATTCTTTTAAACGGATACATATCACACTCAAACTAATTCTTACTAGATTTTAATTAAATATTCATTCAGAAAATATAAGTTTTTCAACAACTATCTCATACCTACAGGGAACGCATACTCAAACTCGAAACCTGCACAAAGATAAATAAATTCCTTATCACTTGATTCTAACAATGACGGATTATTGGGCATTTTTTATATTAAAAAAGGGGAGAAGGTGGTGGATAAGTATTAAATTTAATGTGTTTGTTTTCTTACTTGTTTTAAGGTTGGATAGAATTTTGTACTTTTCTGTGCAGGTATTCCTAATGACATAGTATTTTTTGCTTGCCTTGTATCAGACGCGTGCTCCTCCCGTCGATTTATCAACTAATTAACAATACCATGGGCAAATTGTTGTAAAAAAGAAGATTGGATTTCTTTGCGGAATTTCTTTTCAACGACTAATTATTATAGCAAAATTTCCCCTTTTTAGTGCGTTGGATCTCAAATTGATTATAAGAGTTGTCTATTCATATTATAGCAAAGATCAAACTCTTTCAACTTAGGAAATCTCTTTCGATTGTTTGTAATCATCACTCAATTAGTGTAAGCGTCCTTAATGACAACGTTATTAATCGACTGATCATGAGTTAATTTAAGAATTTCAATAAATGTTATCTTTATCCTTTGCAAATTGACAATTTTCTTTAATGATTCAATTTCCCCCCTTCGATATTTGCCAATTATTCTCGATTACTATGTTGAACTTCATAATAGATCTGACATTTAATTACTAGCATCATTTAAGTCTCTTACAAGTTATTTTTAATTCGTTTAATATGAGTTGCGGCTTAATTTTGGGGAGGGGGATAGGGATGAGTAAGTATGGTATGAAGTTAGGGCGGAAAACTGTATTCTGTGTAGTGAGATCATAGCGTCAAATCTCGACGTTGTGATATACTCCCTCTGTCCCAAAATTATTGTTCAGTTTGATATTTAATTTTTAGTACAATTTAAACTAGAAATGAAAACTCAAACTGGACAATAATTATGGGACGGATGGAGCATATGCATGAAAAGAAAAGGAAATATCCAGTTAATTAGGATCGCAAATCGGGTGTTTAATTTGCAGATTTGAGCATGTATTTGATTGCCTTGATTATCAAACCCTATATTTGCCTAAAGATTAACCCCATAGGTGATTAACCTAGAAATATGAATTAATGTATTCGTGTCCTACTCAGATACATATTCCCATAACCTTTTCTATCAAGAAACATATTGACATGATTCTATCAACTAATTAACATGGATAGCAACCCAAAAAAAAAAAGGTTTTCTTATTTTTAATACTTCCTCTCGTCTTTATCATAATGCATTTTGATTTCGTTCTTAGGTTTAACCTATGATATCTTTTTAATTGAAAAAAAACTTTAAAATTAGACATCTTAAGTGAAACTTATAATGAAATCAAAATGCCTTATAATAAAGATCGGGGGAGTAGAATATACAATATAGTGATCAATGTGACATGATGGTGACATATTCTATTCTGTAATATTTTGTTATTTCCATTTACTCATCATAATTAGAATTCCTCCACAACTATAGAACATGATTATACTATTTTTCTTCCACATAATATTATTAATGGAAATGGATAATTCCATTTTTTTTGGTTAATATTTCCTTCTTTTTTTTCAATTGATGGGCATCGAAGGAAACCGATCGGTGGGAATGGCGTAAAGATGGAGACAAATGTACGAACACCTTACAAACAAACGGCTCTGATTGCCGATCTGTTGCATTTGCAGATGAAATTTAATGGTCACTGTGAACAGTTTGCAGATCTACAGAAGTCATAATAGGATATCAAATGTAGGCTGATTGATAAGTGCGTTGACTTTTTTGCTCAAAACTATATTATTATTTTATTAGTTTTTATCACCTCATCATAGACGGTCCGTATCACTGACACGTACTTCTTCATCCTAAGACTGAAATTTAATAGTATAATAAAATAGACCACTTCAATATCAGACTTACCTCCGTACGTATAAAAATCTTCTTTTCGAAGGAGGACAGAGGGACAGAAGGTACTAGTACTATTCTATTCTGTGGTACGGCCTATTCTTTGAAGTACTACTATTAGTATTTTCTTTGTGGTTCATTTTTTCTAGAAAAATTATTTTACTTTTCCAAATATAGAAAGGCATTTGTTTTTACTTGTATTTCGAGAAAAAAAAATTCACATACTATTCCCTCTGTCCCAAAATTATTGTCCAGTTTGAGATTTCACTTTTAATATAATTTGAACTAAAAATGAAAACCCAAACTGGACAATAATTATGGGACAGAGGGAGTATATGTTTGGGAGACAGCGAAGTTGAAACGTTTGTTTTGATAATCGAATATTGTGTTTGATCATTTGATCAAATGTAGTCACGGTTTTTTTTTTTTTTGAACTTTAAGAGAATTTATGATCTAACCATCCGAGTTGAAACACATGAAAGCACAACGTGTTAGTTTAAATTTTGGTGTTTTAAGCACGAATTAATTTTAATTTAATCCAAGCTATCGAGTTTGTGATTGGTATTTTTTAACACCTATGCATTAATGCATGTGGTTCACGATATGAAGAGAAACAACACTAATACAGTTTAGATCTCCATGAACTTGAAAAGATCAAAATGATTATCTTTTTTTTAAGATTACTTTCACCGATATTTAAACCCATTTTATAGTCGTAATTCTTGCTCTTCCTATAGTCACAGATTCTTCCTCCCTATCAAAATGACTTTTTGAGCTAGCTAATACTGCAAATGAAGGTTGCATTTTTTCATCCCTCTGTCCCGAAATTATTGTTTCAGTTTAGATTTTCATTTTTAATACAAATTGTACTCAACGCGAAAATCAAATTGGACAATAATTTTGAGAGAATTACTTTTTATTTATTGAATGACTAAATGTCACTTGTCACATTATTTTTCTGTTGGAAAGTGACATAACAACTTAAATTGCGTGTATGTTCATTTAGTACTATAGCACTATCTAATTCTTGATTAATCCTCCCATTGTGCTGGGTGTAAATATAGATTGAAAAAAACAAGGTTATTGCCGAGTTTTTCTACCCTACTTCAGACTGAGTTTTCACAGCTACTTGTTTGATGCGTCATTTTAGTTATAATCAGTGACCCAATTAACAAGTGGCAAAAACCATCTCAATTAGATGCAGTTTTCATCGCAGGTGGTAATTAACTACTAACTAGCGACCCAACAAGTTGCAAACCAGCTCGCCATAAGATTGACTTTGATCATAGAAAAATGAGCAAAAAAGTTTTGTAAATAATTAATTACATTTTGGTGGAAATAAATTTGCAAATATTATTTATATAGTAACAACGACTATAGCTAGATAAAGATGGATCGTTTTGAAGTCTGTCAAGTTGATGAATAATAATACATAATCGAATGCTCATTTTGACTTTACATTTCGATCGATGGAAGCTCACAAATTGAGTACGAGAGAAAGACAGCTAACGTTGTTATAGTTGTTAATGATGATCTCTAACATATCATTTAATTAATTTTAGAATATAAACCAATGTAAATGTAGTTAATCTAGGAGCTTCTTCTTGCATAATCATGACGATGTCGTTCGTGAAAGTGTGTTGAATTAGCTTAGGCTTCCATTGATCGGCTACCAAAAAAACAAGATAAGTTTGGACTTTGTGTTGACGTGAACAAATTGTTGATTTTATTTAATCAGATTTACATATTTTTTTTTAGCGTGCGTATATACAAATTGAAATTGTTTTTTTTTTTTTTTATAAAAGGATTGAAATTGTTTTTATCTGTTACTTAGAAAATTAAACTCTAATTAATTTGTTTATCATACATCCAAATTGATTACCTCCAGCCAATAGCCGGATTAGTCATCACGTCTTACACAATCTGATTTGTCCTGCATTACCTTCTTGGAAGAGATCAGATCAAGAGATAAACAGCACCAGTTATCAACTTATCATTTGATTTTTTCTACCACAAAAAACAGATTTTGGTGAAGATTTTGGGCTTTCTTTTTTCAAAAAGAACAATGATGAGCTTTGACATACAAGAAACTATCAATGTAAAATGTAAAAATGATTATGATATTCAATGATGGAGCTAAGAACGTCACGAAACAAATGCGAAATTTATCATAATAGACTAATTAATTATATCTTTTCTACTAAAAGTTTAGATTTCATTATTAATTATAAAAGAATAAAATAAAATTAAGAAGAGGAACTGTTTTTCACCTAGCATCGTCAGTGGATATTTGATCATACCTGACGATTTCTTGGTTGGGGCTTTTTCCTTTTATATATATTTTTTGATACCTTAGGCACTCCTAGTATTTCATCCCCTTTTATGGTGGCTGCTTTGATATATTTTAATGAACGGTATGGATTAAGAAAATATCGTTAAACAGCTGTACCAAAAGAGTTGACTCGAGGTAATCAATATATAATACACAAAAGAAACAAAGATTGAGGAATAAAGTATATGTCTCTGGCTCCCTGCTAATCCAAAGTAATTTAGTGCTTGTTTGGACGTCAATTTACATTTTATTTTGTCACTTAAAAGTGAAAATTGTTCTAAATTAAAAATTAAATGGGAAATAAAAATGTTGTTTAGATGTTGGTTTTGGAAAAAAATATTTTGAACTACATTTTGAAATATCAAGTACAAGTCATCACTAAACAATTAAATACTGTCAATTATAGTCACTGCAAAAAAGAACTTTTCCAAAAACAATCACCCAACAACGGAATCCTGCCAAATTTGTCACTGAACTATTTATAGTTCTAAAATGGTCATTACACTAACAAAAAGTGTTTCAAGTTAGAATTTAAAATGTAAATCAGAAAGTTGTTTGGATAATTTTTTTTTTTTACATTGGGTTTTGTATTTAAGAGGTAAAATGAGTTAAAATGTAAAATGAGTGAACAAACAAACAAAGCCTAAAATCGTTTACATGAAAGTATATATATACTGTCCATTTGAGTTGAATTTAATGTAATTTCATAATTCCATAAACGGAATCCTCAGCGTCAAAACAAAACATAAATGATTCATTTCGAGTTCTCACATATCCACATGCATCCGTAGTAACTTCTAACTCGTGCTTGTATGAGTATCTTAAATAAGAGTTTATCTATTTTCAGTTAGAGGTAGAAGTCGGTTTTTAAAATCTATAATTACATGAAGAAGAATTTAAAATCTTGTCTCACGCATAGGAACGGCCGCGATCATGAAATTACCAGTTTCACACTTTCACTTGATATGCCGGAATGCAGCAAGAAAAAATGTAGTTGGTGCATGCAAAATATGACGTTTTCTCTCCATCCATCTGATATCGTGAAGTTAGATACACTATTTTCATCTTAATTCGTAGGGATGTTTGTAAAAATCAGAAGGCTTCTTTCGTATATTAATTAAAAAAAAATTACAATAAAAACCTACGGACTTTACAAACGCTTTTTCCTCCTTGGATATATAATTAGCCCGATGCAACTGGTTTACTTTCCTAGGTTACTCTTGCTTTTCTTGCAATATTATAATTTGACTCTGAATGATTGACTTACGTGTTTACCTGGACAATTACTAAGTGCAATTACTGTATGTAATAACTATACTCTGAATTATGTTACATATAAGAATTAATTAAGATCATTTTACTAGGTTGGTTGGTGTAAGCATGTTGTGAGACTCACTTTTACAAGATCGTGGACCTCTTCGATGTGATGTTATTTGGACCATAAGCACCCTGCATCATACTATACTTTCTTTACCTTTTATATTACACAGTTCACATTATTGTTTTGTATCAAAATATTCCCTTTTCCATTTCTTATAAATAAGTGGATTAACAATTTTTTTTTTCTTTTTATTGAACAATAATGTAAGTATATGATATAGATATTATTTGTAGGGTAAAAATAACCAATTCATCAAATCTAAGGGTACTAGAACTTAATTTTGTTAATTATATTTTTCATAAAATCAGTGCATCTCATCCTTATGAAATTACATTAAACCTGCTGAATGATGATAACTAATCTGGAGGCTATTAAATTGCCGAATACTAAAGAATGTCCTTGGGTGAAACATAAAATACTTTACTACTTCATGGGCCATTGGCCCATAACTTCCATCTGGATTTGGACCATCTTTGTAGATCAGGAGTAGAAGAATAAAATAGAGCTTCCATTTGACAAAGAAAAATGTGGGAATTGTGGGTGGATTGAAGGAGAAGAACTAAGAAGAGTAAGCATTGTACAATTTCATTCTGACATTTCATCAAACACATACAACTGTTTTGAACTTTTGATCAACACAGCAAAAACCTCGCTCACTACGTGTCCAAACTATACAAATTGGTAATGGCTTCATGCCCGCTTTGATATCCACGTGTCAGCAACCGCAATCCATTTTTAAAAAGGGACCCAAAGTGCAACCCGAAATCACAGAAAAACAGAGCCACCTAAAATTGAAAAACGAAACCATGCATCGGTTTAAACTCTCCCTCCAATTCCTGAAACCCGCATCCTACAATTACTTGAAGCCCCGACCCTTTTCCTCAACCCATTTAGAGGATTACGGGTCCCTCGCCTGCCGGCTCAAGACCCGGTCGGTCATCCGGTTCAAAGGCCCCGACACCGTCAAGTTCTTGCAGGGTCTGGTGACCAACGATGTTCGGAGGTTCGGGGAACCGGAAAGCAACAGCAGCAGCTCTAATTCTGCTGTCGGAACTCCGAACTTGCCGTTGTATGGGGTGCCGCCGGTGTACACTGCTGTATTGTCTCCTCAGAGCAAGTTTTTGTTCGACATGTTTCTTTATAGGCCGCCCCGGTCCGATGAGAAGCTCGACAATACGGGATCAGGTCCGGGGCCTAATCCGGGTGAGTTCGAGCTGTTTGCCGATGTTGATGCTTCTTGCCTGGATGAACTCGTGACGACCCTAAAAAGGTGAGTTTACGTTTCTCCAATTCCACACTTTCAGTTTCATTAGCCAGCTGAAGACTTTTCGCTGTCTTACATGTGTAAAATTCAAGTGTTAGTCGTGTTGTATACAAGTCTTTTTAGCATTCGTTGATAAGTTGTGTAACTAGTTGGTTGTCAAGTCCCAAATGTTTTGGCTACGTATGAATCAAGTTGCTTTGAGAATGTGTGTTGGCATGAAGGACATTAGTCCAAAAGGTGAAATCAGAGTGGAACTTGAAAATGGTTTCGAATTTTGAGGTTGGAGATACATTAAGGAGACTATATTTAGGAACAAATAGATGACTTTCAAGCCTAATCTCTACTGCTTGTTGGCCTGTATTATTAATGATGGGGCTGCTAATTAAAATGTGGTGTTACCATTGATCGTGAATGGATGGGTAGAACGAGTTTAGTCGAGAAAGAAAGAAAAAGTAGAAAACAATTGATAATTTGCTTCATTGGGTTTTACTTGGTATGTGTGAGAACCAAATGCTCTTATTCAGAGGGTAGACGTGTTTTATTCATCTAGCCAAACTAGCAGGAGCCGATACTTTATGTTCTTTTGTGGACTTGAATGACAATGCTACTCCCATTTAAATGTTGAAGCTTCTTTAAAGTCTCCTAGAGGAGGGAGTGTAGTTTGTCTTCGGGCAAGTTAAATACTCTATGAAACTCATTGCTGATTGGAGATGTATGCCTTTGGACGTTCTTCACCTTAGATCACTTCCTGTGATTGTTGCCTAAAACAGGACCACTTTTTGTCTTCTACTAGTTTCCACCTTTTTCTATGTGTAATTTTTGAATAAACATGAGAGGTTGGAGATGTCATATACAAGTGGTTTTCCCCTGGAATCTTCAAAGTATTCATGAAACTATTTTACTAACTCGTTCACCATGTGGCGAATAGTACAAAAAAATTGCAGCCAAAACTATTGGCATCATATAGATGAAAGTGATACAGTTAGTTCAGACTTATCACTGTACAGATAAGATATAGTGTAACTTTGTCTTGTAATGCCTCTTTTATTACCAAGATTATGTTATTACTTTGCTGCAGATACCGGTTGAGGTCCAAGGTTGACATCGAAAATGTTACCGAGGATTTTTGCTGCTGGCAGAGATTTGGTACAGAACTTACCCATCAGTCCTCATCTACAGAGGAACCAGAAGCGGAATCACTAGGCTGGGGTGGTGGCATTGATCATGCAGGTGCATCATCTTCAGAAGGAAGTAAAGATGGATGGGAATGGTATCAGGATCCCAGATGTGGTTGCCTTGGATATAGGGGCATCTTTCCTTCCCAGACGACACGTAAGTTCCTGTACGTGTCTTCTTCTGATTAACAGTTTTCATCTTTTCAGTTGGACTGGTAAGCTCTGTGCGTTTTTGAAATGTATCCTGATGAGGCACAAAGTTTTCGCCAATTTCTGAACTCAGTGGATGGCTAGAAGTTGGCATTTTGTGCAAATCCATATTAGCTGTTTATAGAATTCTTGGAATCCACCTATTAATCAAGCATTCCTGTCCATCACAGCCCCTCATGTTGAGGCAGACAAAGAAGCTGAGGAAAACCATTTTGTCCTCTGGAGATTGGATAAGGGAATAGCAGAAGGCTCGTCAGAGATTCCAAAAGGTGCATCATCCTTCTAGTCTATTTCATTTTTTTTTTTTTTTGGTTGGTAGTTTGACCTTTATCCCAACATCTTGTGTGGAAGTGTCGCCTTTTTATGGCTTATTTGAAGCCCTTTCTGTTGCCACTGGAGGATATTAAGGGAAAAGGGAGATAAGAAAAACTCCAGATTGTTATATCATTTTGCATCTGTTTAATTGTATAATCACTTGTAGGTGAGGCAATGCCCCTAGAATATAACCTGGATGGTTTGAATGCAATAAGCTTTGACAAAGGATGCTACGTAGGACAAGAACTTGTGGCTCGAACACATAATGTTGGGGTTATTCGAAAGCGATTGCTTCCTTTAGAGTTTCTGGATGACAATGGAAAGGGTAAGTTCAATTTTGCTTTCGCTAAAGTTTTTGTTTACTTTTGCCATTTAACTTAAGCATTTGTGTTCTGCTACGCCAGAGGTGGAAGGTAAAGTAGTTCCAAAATTACAAGTGATTGCCGAATCATCTGGGAAAAAAGTGGGGACCATCACTGCAGCACTTGGGAGCCGTGGCCTTGGTCTTCTACGCTTGGATGCAGCTTTCAAAGAGCCAGGCTCTTTGTCCATACAAGGTCAAGAAAATGTCAAGGTCAAGGCCCGTAAACCAGATTGGTGGCCATCTTGGTGGCTTGCGGAGGATCAACAGAGTGCGGTAGCTTAGGGTATTCATTTTTAACATCTGAGTTATTGGCTTCAGTAATAGTTGGTTCTGTTAAGCAGATAGATTGCTCTTTGTTTAAATGTCTTGTCCTCCCGCTTGATGAACATGTGAAAAAGTACTCTAATTTTAAGTGAATAAAAGTTGAATTAGTTACCTGAGGATGTTTTTTGCACAGTATGACTGGTAGATGAGGAGTCCTATATTTACTTCCTGGAATTTTGGCATGTATAGTCAACTTACTAAAATGAGTCTTTCCATCTGATGATCCATGAGATAACTCCTGGTTATGTATGGGATAAATGAAAAAATTAAGAATAGCTTGCTTTTACAGTCATACAAGCATGGAGTTAGTTTTAGCCCGATTAGCAAAAGCAAACATCAGTATTCTGACAGTGTCTTACAAAATTAACCTAGAAACTCTCACATCTACTTCCATCCTAATCGCGTCGGTTCATAATAGAGATCAGTATTTTTACCCTGTGCAATCCAAAATGGAAGGAGAATGAGAGCCTGAAATTTCTAGCATCTGCAATCCGGCATAGAATACAATCCTCTCTAATCTGAATATCCTGGGAGCCAAAGCTACCTCATCCTATTTATTTCACTTCTAAGAAAACATATGAAGTGGAGGAAGACGATCTCTGTACATCATCATCTGAAAATACCCAGACCTGACAGAAGCAGGGCGAGCTCTAGTAACCAAGGCAAACTGTTATGATCATGGACCATGCTCAACTGAGAATAACCAGCTTTAGTTTCCGCGTTCTTCCGTATAATCTGCAACATCTCGGACTGAATGGACCCCTGGCAGTCAGCCATCATTAGACCTGCTCAGCTCGTTGATAACAGAAGCAATTGTTGGCCTGTTGTCTGGAAGTTCATGCGTGCAATCCAGGGCAATTTTAGTGAGTATGCTTGCCTCAGTGCGTGAATAGTTTCCTTGGAGATTAGAATCAATGAAATCCTCGAATCTGCATGATTCGGCTTCCAGTAGGATCGAATTGGTCAGTTTCCGTTTACCAGAGAGTATCTGAAGGATAATAACACCGAATGCATACACATCGCTCTTCTCAGTAAACCGGCCAGTGGTGATGTACTCGGGTGCCATGTACCCGAGTGCAGCGCTGACCTTGAGGGCGGAGTACACAACATCATCTGCTAGGAGTTTTAGGAGTCCACAGTCGGATATTAATGGGGTGAAGTTATCATCAACTAAGACTTTCTCCACTGATATGTTCTGGTGAACCATGGGAGGCTTGTTTGGTTCATCGCCGTGCAGATATCCTATACCTGCTTGCATTCAGGAATGTCAAAATGAAACATAAATTAAACCACAGAATTACAAGAAGAATGATCATGAGTAAGAAAAGAATGATAGGAGGGTCATTAACCTTTTGCAATGCCATTGATTATAGAAACTCTGGTTGGCCAATTGAGAAAGTTGGGATTTCCATCTTGCACATCAAGATACTGAGACAGATCACCTTTGGAAGCGAAATCGTAGATGAGGAAGCATTCCCCTCGGCCTTTTGAACAGCAGAATCCCTTAAGCCTGACAAGATTATGATGCTTCAGGGAGGTCAATAAGTCCAGCCCTTTCATGAATTCAGCTTCTTCAGACTTGCAGCTAGTCACATTGATGCTCTTTACAGCAACTAAGGAACCATCTTTTAGAATTCCTTTGTAAACAGAAGAAACTTTGCTTTTCCCCAGCAGACTCATCTCTGAGAAATGCTGAGTTGCTGATTCAATTTCTTCCAAATTAAATTTAAGGCCTGGTAGGAGATCTGTAGAGCAGAAGCCATGGCAACTCTGCTCCCCCATCATATCCCATCCTTTGGAGTACTCAAGAGAAGCCAGTGTTGAGGGGCTCCTGTTAGGCTCTTTCGCCTGCTCAACGCTGTAACGATCATCAGAAACCTCGGACGTGATCCCAATCCTTTGTTTACCACGACGAGAGCGAAAAATAAGCACAAATACTGCGATAGTCAGCGCCATTGTGACAGAAGTTACCGCGGCAACAATGGCTATTCTTGCTACTCTTGGAGCCTTAGAAGGATTTGAGCAATGGGTGTGATAACAATGCACATGAACATTAGCAGATTTAGGAAGCAAAGAATCATCAGTATTGTTGGCTAAGGGCAGTAAGGGATCCACTTGATTGATATTCCCATTATCCCAGGCAGTGCAAGTTCTCAGAGAAGAGAAGCCAAAACCACATAAACCCGGATTATTGTCGAAACGAAAACTCTGATTTAGCCTCTGCAGATCTTCATATCCAAGAAGGCAGACACAGGAAGTGTAAAATTAGCGCCAACTTGAGAGAGAGAATTCTTAGAATGAAGAAAGTTGTGGAATGAATTCACTCTAGGGAACTTACCATTAGGTACAACACCAGAAAGGGTATTATTTTGCACTTCTAAAACCTCCAATTGAGGAGATTTAGCTAATCGAATAGGGATTGGACCAGACAGCTGATTGAAGCCTAAATGAAGCATTTTTAGCATTCCCAAATTTCCTAAACTAGCAGGAATGGGTCCGGACAACAAATTATGCTCTAATCCAAGCACAGTGAGTTTCTTCAAGGACCCAAGTTCGGTTGGTATGCTCCCTGTCAACTGGTTACCAGACAACTGCAACACTGAGAAGAACAAAAGTAACAGAGTTAGGAAGGTTTACCAGGAAATGTTCATGAAGAATCTCATTCATCTGTTTATATATACACAACAAACTAAAATCTTGACTGTCGGCTCCAAATTAGACGTAGAGACAAATAGCAAATCAGATTTATTTCATCCTCTTCCTTGCCTTTTGAGCAAAAATTCTTACTTTTCCCCTGATTTTTTATTTTATTTTTTTTTTGACCCTCAAAGTAGAGAAACTGAAGGGCTTAAGAAGATGGTGCTTGTAGTTTTTGCATATCTCCTACAGTAAGAATGTAAAGTTTCTAAAAAGATGGTAAGAAGATGTTGAATACAAACTTCAAAAATAGGATATACAAACCTTGAAGACTGGCCATGCTTCCTAGCTCAGGAGGTATATTCCCAGAAAGATTATTCACATCCAGATAAAGATCAACCAGCTCTGATAGATTAGCGATCTCTTTAGGTATTTCTCCGGTCAAAGAATTATAATGCAAGTACAATCCTGACAAGCACTTGAATTCGGCCAGCTCCGGCGGTACTTTTCCGGTGAGCCCTTTACCCTGCAATGATATATTTGCCACTTTCCGGTGCTCATTGCAAGCTACACCCATAAAACTACCTTCACAAGGATCAACATTATTAGTCCATGAAGAAAGGACCTTATTTTCAGGGTCTAAAACATACTTTATATCCATTAAAGCTCGGAGCTCTGCATTCCCACGTACAGTTCTTGAGTAAGATGAGAAACCAAGCAAAATGAAAAGGATTAACAGAAAATCACAATTGCCCATTTCTGGGCTTAGCTTGGTTAGAAAAAAAATCAAAGATGCAATCTTTGTCTCACAATAGAAACTATCTAATGAGAGTACTGACTTGTTCTGTTTTTTTTTTTTTTTTTCAAGATTTGAGTGTCAACAAAACCATGTGATACTCTGTAATAGAATTTGGATTGTGCTGAATTTTTGAACAGAGTTGGTACTCTTTTGGTAATTTTTTTTTCAATGAGAGAGAGGAGGAGAGAGAGAGAAAGGGAGAAATGTTTGTCAGTGGAAAAAGGATGTCAGAAATGAGACTTTGAGAGAAACACATGCATGCTGGAAAACCACAATCTAGTTTGAAGTTTGAACTTTGAACTACATAATTGAACTAGTCAATGGTTTAACCTAAACTAGTAATCTAGCCCTAATCCTTCTAAATTAATGACACAATTTTGCAGTTTATGGTAAATTTTGCTCAATAATACAGCCTACGCAAAATAGGTGTTTTGTTAGTCAATAAATCAATTAATTTCTTTTAGTTAGCTTAAACTAATTTAGCATAACAAATGTAATTCCTATTGTTAAACCGGTGTTGCACGAAGAAAGATCTTCTGTAATATTTTTGTGTACTTTTTTTGTGATATCAACTAAAATATCAATACATATTTAATCATTCACCACACATGTTTAGTAATTTATTACTTAAACACGTATCAACCATTTAACTAGAGTCACACAAAATACCATAGAAGACCCTACACCGTGTTGCATGTAATGTATGGTAACAATTTATAGATACTTTAAAGTATACAACTGTTTCAATTTCATGAATTGAATGTAACTTGAGTTTCAAGAAATGGAGGAAGCAATTAACTGTATGTTTCGTTTTTCTTATATGTGTTTTTAGGTATTTTTTTTGAAAATGTAAAAAAATGTATTAGAAATAGAAAAAGATATGCTGGGATAGGACAATTATTATTATTTAATTCTAAAAACCAACTAAAAAGGAAAACAAACAAAGCATAAGTATTATTATTATTATTATTGTTATTGTTATAATCAGTACAGTATTATTTTCTTTCAGTCGGAGAGATTTCTGCCAAGAGCTTGAAATAGTTGTATATGAACACGAAAAAGGGGTTGCGGCTGTATATAATTATAATACTACTAGTATGCCTAAGAATGGGCTTAAATGCAATGCTCGCTCAGCAGTTGGCTGTTTCATATTCATATTGAATGTGAGAACTGAACCATAAAATAAATTGAAAGAAAAGAAATATGAAAAGATTTAATAGTGAAAAATGTGTGTAAAGGAGGTACTCATCATGAATGATGGATCTTGGCGATCATAAATGGCGTTTTTGTAAAATAATCGTAATGCTCCAATGACATATAAAAGCTAATAACTTTTTGAGGGCCAAATCTAACTGTCCGGATTTGAGATTTTGATTCATCAACGAGACTTCATTTTCATTCACTTAGATCACAAGTCTTCTCTTCCTCAAATTATCTCCTCAGTTTGATATTTCAGCTAACCAAATTTAATTTATTTAAACAAAGACGAAAATTGAAAGTTTTCATTGAATGTGTGGAATCTCTTGATATACATTAGCAATAAGGATTTTTCTGTATCAATTATTTCTTGATAATTCGTACATTTATTATTTTCCTTATTTTTTTTCTAGGTCGGTTTGGTTTGAACAATTGGGATGCTGATTTTGGAGTTTTGTTTGGATATATATCCAACTTCATTCATTGGTAATCTCAAATTCAAAAATACTCTGCACAATTTTCTGATCCGAAGCAAGGACCATTATGGAGTTATTTAATGTTTCATAGGCATTAATGCTTTGTATCCCAATTATTTTAACCTCATATATAGAGCGGGTACATGACGAAAAGCATTCTCCACTTCTCTCCCTCAATTTTTTTTTTTTATTGGGTGATGTTGCATGATTCTTGTGAATCAAAGTTTGAAGTTTAATTATACATTTTCGGAAACAATGTAACGCAAAAAATCCGTCGGGACATGAAGCATTCTCTAATATTTTGGTTAATTAATTATTTCACGTATTGCACTGTTCATAATTCAGCAAAAAAATTAATCATCGTTATCATTAATTTGCCCAATATATATTCCGCTACTATGGAGGATGTGTTTAATAGTCGTTGATGGGCTAAAATTGCAGTCAAATTGAGTAATTGGTTATTGACCACTTGGGGCTGCCTCAAGTTTGAGTATTATTATTTGCATTTTCTTACCGTCATTAAAGCGCTCCAAGTCAAACTCTCGGAAACCCAACTTTAATACCTCCAATTGATGTTTATAAGTTATAACTACTGCGCAATAGAATGTCCGAATTGGAGAGCCTTCTCATGATGATTTTTAATAATGTTACTGCTCCGTCTCAAAAAAAAAAATAGTGCACATTGAGTTTTGAATCTGTACTAAATACAGTACAAAACTCAAAACTCAATGTGGACTATTTTTGGGGTCGGAATGAGTATAATGTTTCTGGAAATAATTGATGATATGAAAGAATAGCACGAAGTACAATATGACGAACAACAATATCATTTTGTGATGAAAGAATTTTAATTTGTTAACCTGAACAAAAGAATAAAGGAATTGTATGTACTCCACCATAATGTATTGGTGTACCTTGGATTCCATGCATGTGACTAATTCGAGTTTACCAAAATCTTCGACCTAATTAGTCTCCATCATACTAGCCTCGTCATACTCCCTAATTGTCTACTAAGTTAGAAATCAACAACAATCGTGGTTTAGTGTTTTTAGTTGGAAAGGTTTCATTTAGGAATCAACGACAAGTCAACAACTTCCTTCCGAACAAATCCTTTTTGTAACTTGAAATGTTTTTTTTTTAAAAAATACATGTATATTAATTAGAAATACCTAAACTATTACAAAGACATGTATCATATGTTAGATTATATAATTTTCCAACCTCATTCCTGCTAACTTTAATCAGTTGGCAGGATTCAAAGGTTGAGAATAAAACTAGTACTAATGAAACTATCTCTTGTGCCTCACTAGGGACAAGAGCATTTCTCAGATCTGTCGTCAACACTTCACAATCAGTATACACGTTGATAGATGTAACACCAAGTGTTGATGCTTCTCGGAGTGCCATAAGACATGTCATGACTTTCGTTTGGAAAGGTGAGAATGCCTGCAATGAGATCGACTTTATTTGCAGAACCATATCTAGTGAAGAAGTGATCTTCCATGCACCAGCTGCTTTCCTAGTTCGTGGATGAAAGGAACCATCAAAATGAATTGTTGCATGTGTACCTCTAGGCCCTTGAGTCAGAGTGGGGGATATATGATTTGTGACAGAATGAGGTTGAGGGGATCTCAAACTCATGCTTATGTTGCATCAATTCGCTTGAATGATCCTCCAAGAGATGGCTGGATTAATGGTCAGGTTCCTCCATATCTTGTCATGCCTTTCTGTCCATATTTTCCAAAAGATGAGTAAGAACAAGTCTATATCAGCAGAGGAGGGGCGAGTTTGGATCCATTGGATGTACCACTCAAGTAGGGAAGCATTAGTGCAATTAAGGATGGATTGGTACGAAGGATATGCAAAACTCCAAATGACTTGAGAATTGGGACAGCTGAAAAAAAGATGTAAGCTATCTTCTTCATGCGTGCCACAACGGGGACACATAGTATCAACTTCCACTCCTCGTTTTTGCAACCCATTCTTGTCGGAAGAGCATTGAGAACAGCTCTCCAAAAGAGTAGTTTCAACTTTGGTTGAACTTTGGAATTCCACAAGCATTTCCAACCTGCCACTTCAGATTGTAGGTGATTTTGAGGTTGACTAGATTCAGCATTGTTCAAATTTGTGACGGTATGATACCAGATTTGACTAGATAAATGCCATGCTCTGTCTTAGTCTACTGCAGTCTATCATTCTACTGATTCCTGGGCGGGTCGATAAAAATACCCGTGATGTGTGGGATGATGTAGTCCGAAAAGAGTGTTCGGAGAAACTGGATTTTTCACTGGCTATCTGGGCGAATTAAATCTTTAACATAGAGATTAGAGTGTACATCCACAAATGAATCTGTAGAAATCGAATTAGGATGGTTAGGGATCTAATCATCTGCAATGTTGATGTCTTTTCCTGAAATCACCTTCTACTTCTTATTTTGATTTAATAGTTGCATTCCCCAGAGTATGATTTTGTATCCCCAAGATAAGTTGTTTGGAGGTTGAAGTTGAGGAAAAACACTATTTTTACAATATTTGGCTCTATAAAGTCTAGAGATGAGAGACTCTGGAACAGACAATATTTTCCATACATGCTTGGTTAGAAGTGTCTAGTTAAATTCCTTAGTAGATATTAATCCAATTCCTCCATGGAATTGAGATTTGCTTATCTTCTTCCAAGACCTTCAATATATTCTTCTATTTGAGCTATCCCCTTTCCAGATAAATTGAGCAACAATGCGATCTGCCTCATGTAATTATTTTGAGAATTCAGAGTGACAATCTCGATCAAACTACACGCTATTTTACAACACCAATCTAAAACTTTCACAAGCAAATGAGATGATTAATTGTTATGTTTAAATACCTCAAAGTTGGGAGATGAAGAGACAAAATTTTGATGAACGTCACATCAACCATTCACGATCATCTAAATTGGTCCAAAACCCTCGAGAAAGTTAAGTAAGAACAGTTTGTGCATTTTGGAAAAAGAAAGACAAAGCAGAAAGCGATAGTTCTACTACTACTAGTACTTCCCTCCCTTCCCCTCCCCCAGCAAAATTCAAAACACGAAGATTAGTTTTTTGATAATTACATTTGGAGCAGTTACAAATTTTTTCCAGCTTTCTAAAATGTCAATAATCGAAGCTCCCCACCATTCACGACTTGATTTGAGTTTTAAAGTTTTAGTAGCCGTCAACCCACAAACAAAACCCACGTACTCACCAAAAATTTTTAAAATTAAAAATCGGTCTATTTTCTACTTGAACGTGTGTTTCTTCGTAAAGTGAATTCCTTAATTACGAGAAGAATCACACAAAATCACATTCGACAATGTATCTTTTTCCTTTTTTTATTTTTTTTCTTTTTCTAAAGATTGCTTTTCCACAAAAATCCAGACTTTCAGGAATCGAACATCTG